GATCCAGCAAAAGGCCTATGATGAAATCATGAAGGTCTACCCCAACGGAGAGGCCTGGGAGAAGTGTCTGGTGGAGGAGAAGGTGCCCTACGTGAGCGCGCTGGTCCGCGAGACTCTCCGCTTCTGGACGGTCATTCCCATCTGCCTGCCCCGCGAGAGCACCAAGGATATCGAGTACAACGGCGCGACTATCCCTGCCGGAACGACCTTCTTCATGGTGAGTCTGGCCACTACATTGCCCCATCACTACGCGATTGCTAACTAGGTCAGAACGCCTGGGCCGCCGACTACGACGAGGACCACTTCAAGATGCCGGAAAAGTTCATTCCCGAGCGTTATCTGGATATCGGTGAGGGCTCGGGCACGCCGCACTATGGCTACGGCGCTGGTTCGCGCATGTGTGCCGGCTCTCATCTGGCTAACCGCGAGCTCTACACGGCTTACATTCGGTTGATCACCGCGTTCACCATGCACCCTTCACGGGATGTGGCCGATCGGCCTATCCTGGATGCGCTGGAGTGCAATGAAATCCCCACGGGATTGACAACGGAGCCCAAGCCATTCAAGGTGGGCTTTACGCCGAGAGATCCGGTGAAGCTGCAACAGTGGATTGTGGAAAGTGATGAGCGGACTAAGGATTTGTAAAGGGTTCCTAGTTGACGAATTTTACGATTCTGGATGTACATATATAGTAGAATGCTGCCTTGACCTGTTGCCTAACTTTCTCTCTCTCATTACTATCTATTTATCTACAAACTTTCTCCGTGGCATTCGAATCCCACCTGCAAGGGGTGACACGGTGCAACTCTGTTACGAAGGACACGTAGCGAGCAAAGCAACCCATTGAACCCACCTTCAGCCGAGGAACTGCATCTTGTCCCACTGTAGCCTGTCAGCCATCATCTCCATTGACGAATAACAGCCCGAGAGATTCTCGTACTAAAGCAATGGCTGCGAACTAGACTGCGGAACCCCGCCGTGGTGGCCGATCGGCGCTCCTTTCACCGCCGCCCATCCAATGATGCATCGCTGGATTCGCTGCCTCTCGGTATCGTTCTTCCATCTTTTCCACTCTGCATTCTTGCTTCCCTTCTAAGACATCTCGTCGTTGTCCTCTGGATACTTACCCACCAGGCACTCCCACAACATGGACAGCCATCCCCTCGAGTCGTGGGAGCGACCCCCAGACGACGATCTTGGCGATCGGGACGAGGCCCGACCGCGCAAACGCCGTCGAAAATACATCGCCAAAGCTTGGTATTGCTGCTCCCCCTTAGCTACTACTCGGAAGCATTCATCGATCGCATCTAATCTACTCTCTAGTAATGAATGCAAGCGACGCAAAATCAAATGTAATGGGCAGTCGCCCTGTCAGCGATGCGGTCGCCAGCGCATCGACTGTGTGTACGAGGCGCCGCCGCCGCGACCAGAGAGCAGCGCAGAGAACCAGTACGATAGTCCTCTCTAGAGATGTAGAAACAAGAAACACAATTAATATGAACCAGTGAAACACTCGACCGTCTCCTGACTCAAATGACAGCCATGCAAGAGCAAATCACCTCTCTCACCACAGCCGTCCACGCCTTGACGCAGAATACCCTCGTCTCAACAGCAACAGCACTGCCGCGGTCGGACGTAGCAGCTCAGCGACCCTTCCGGCGGCACTCCTCCATCAAAGAGAAAGAATCTGTCTTTCAAGGCCCAACCACCTCCGCGTACAGTCTGGACCTAGCGAAATCCAGCCTTCAGCGTCGCGGAATCGTCGAAGAACATCCCGATGTCGCGGATGCTGAAGACGGCGATGTTGACGGCGACGAGGGCGATACCGCCCCTTCTCAGGTGATCCCCATGGCTGTCGCTGCGTCGCCGCCACGCACGCGCCATTATCCGTCCGGTGATCCACTGTGGACCATCGGGAAGAGTGAAGCGTTGCGGCTGTGTCGCGTGTATGAGGAAGAAATGGGAATTATGTACCCTGTGCTAGAGCTACCGCAGCTCCTGCACCAGGTCGAGTTGTTGTATGGGGCGGAGTCGTGGCCCCGGGTACCCGTTGCTCAGGGAAACGAAGAGCAGCTGGATAGAACCGCTGTGCATATTCTGCGCCTGGTGTTTGCTTGTGCGCTTACAGCCGAGGCAGCGGGAAGCAGTGCCCTGGCGCTGAGCTTGTTCGAGAGTGTCCGAGAAGTGGCGGATAACTTTGTCTGGGGAGTAGCGGGGATCAAGAACATCATCTTCTTGACGTTGGTGGTGAGTACACCCATGCCCTATATTCGGAAATATGTCTTATTAGTTCTAGGCCATCTTCTACTTTCAAATCGACGAAGAAACCCTCGCCTGGCGTACCATCGGCATCGTCGAGCGCATGTGTCTCGAACGAGGCCTTCACCGCCGCGAAACCCTCAGCCAGCCATCCATAGCCAAAGCAGGCAAAGACCGCGTCCTCCGACTCTTCTGGTCGATTTACATTCTCGACATCCGCTGGAGTTTTGGCACGGGCATGCCCTTCTCCCTTGAGGACAGCGACATTGACCCGTGGCTACCTGAGCCGGAGGAAAAGACGCCCTACCTGCGTGTCATGATTCGGTATAGTCGGATTGCAGCGAAAGTGTGGAAGTTTATTTCAGCATTCAACAACACCAATGAGATCAAGAAAGAGGAGATGAATTACCTCGATTGGCAAGTCCAGCGGTGGAAGGCAGACGTTCCGCCCGTGTTGAGCATTGACTCGGGTAACGTCCAGGAGGAGGAGCCACGGAGCTTGCGTCGCTTGCGGTCTCTGCTGTATTTGAGGGCGAATCAATTGCGCATGCTGATCCATCGTCCTGTGCTGCACTCGGCGGCACATATCGCCAAGTACCCTGCAGAGTCGCAGACCGTGGTAGAGTTAGCGAAGGAGTCGATCCGATTTATCACGAATCTGAACGAGACGACGGATATCTATCGCTTGCAGCAGGTGACCTTTAATTGGTTTCTGGTCTCTGCTGTCGCGGTGGTCTTTCTGGCTGTCACGCAGGCCCCTACTCAATTTAGCACCACTTGCAAGGAAGAGTTCTACATGGCCCTAGAGCTGATCAAGGGCTTTTCGACGAGGTCGTATATTTCGCAGCGGCTGTGGAAGTCCATTCGAAGCTTGAGGAAGCTAGGTCCGCAGTTAATGCATCGGCCGGTGCAGAGTCAACCAGAGCCCGAGTGGAGAGGAGGCGCTGCAGTGCCAGCGGAGAGAGGGGACCTTGGAAACGTGGTGGAGGTCGCACCGAGCCAGTCAACAGGCACGCAGGAGCAGTCACCGCTGGACGGGGCGCAGATGACACGCGAGCTAATGGAGTGGTTCGAAGCGGTGGGGAATCTGGAGACGCAGATTATGGGCATGGCGCCCGAGGGATTTGATGCCGGGTGGCAGCGATATGACTATGGGGAGGAGTTGTCGAGTGTGATGAAGGATTGTTTTTAAATCCATCTTCCAATGTGTAGCATTGTTCTAATATCCAAGACGCTGCCCGCTTCATAACAGCTCTTTCTATCGTGTATGTAGAGTACCATCAAATCTTTGCTCGGAAAGCCGCGATCCCCCCCTTCAACCTCTCCAGATCCTCCACCACCCAATCCGTAACCAGCATATGTCCCGGCTCATGCGCAAACACCAACCCATCAATCTTCTCCCCGGCCGCTTCGACTGCCATCTGTGGCGTTACTCCACACGCCTAACCATGATCCCGCATTAGCATACTCCACATACACTTCATCAAAACGCAAGGGGGTAAACAAAACGAAGAATAAGAAAGTATATCTTGCATACCCAAAAGACAGGCACCTCCCCCTCCCCAAACTCAACCTTATCCCCAAAATCCGGATCGTGAATATCCCGAATGCCCAAGCGCTTCACCGCATCCCAGCCCCAAGCAATCGGCTCCCCGTGCGTGGCCAGATACGGGCGCGTGATGTCCCGCACCCGCTCGACCTCTGATTCGTGATATGGGCGCATCGACACGGTACATGTTGCGTTGGTGAAGATCCCTGCAGGCGAGAGAGGTAGCGAGGTGCGGTACATTGGCACGAGGGTGTTGGTCACTTGGTGTCGTGGGGTTAGAGGCGGGGTGGCATTGCAGAGAGCGGCTTCGAAGCTGTAGGAGCAGCCTAGGAGGAAGGCTGTGTAGTTTTCTGAACTTTGTTGGTCTTCCGCATCATTCGTGGACCATAGGTCCAGAAGGTCGCGTTTGTTGGCCGCGATGCATTTGCCGTGCTTGTACACTCGGTATGCAGGACAGTCGGTGCGGATGTCAAAGTCGCTGTTACGGATGCATGGCGTTGGGGAGATTTTGTGGGGGTTTCCCGGGATGCTGCTAATTCCTAACAGTGGGCAGGCTACGGGGTTGCGGAGGCAGAGGTTATGGAAGTCCTGGCTGTATTTCTCGGGCAGAATGAGGAGATTGGCTTGCAGGTTGGTCCCGGAGTAGCCGGCTGTATTGGTGATGGTGTTTTGGCGAGCCAGAAATCGGGTTTTCTGGCTGCTTAGGGTTTCCGGTGGCTGGGTGGTGATGGTCATTTGGGTTGCTGCATGAATTCTTGTCATATGTACCTACCGTGCAGTAACTTCGACATTGAGTTAGCATATATAATCAATAACCTCTCGACCGATAGACCTGATAGCCTATCAATTGTTCTGTATCTACCCCATACTCCTCGTGTCTCTATCGGCAGGTGGGCTCCGATATCCGGGGATAAACGTGTTTAGGCTCCACCAGCGTGATAAGCGTTGGTCGCTTTAGTCCGCGATTTCACCAATGAGCAGCTGCCAGATGATATCCTCCCGGGCAATCTTAACTTTGCTTATCAGTCCATCGGCCCGATGGGTGACCCTGTGGAGCGTAATGCTACTCGCCCCTCACGATAGATAGCTTCCCGGTTTACTGGCCGTGTTATCGATCCGTTGCCGCCTTCAGGTGCTACCCTGAAGGGCCTGGTCCATGGTTCTTAACCCCAGATCTTCCGCTATTGACGCTTTCATCATCTTCCCTCTTCCCCCACTTTCTTCTGGGTTTCACAACTCACTTCATCCATCATGACTACTGATCAGATGGATCCCGTTGTTGAGCGCAAGTCGCTCGAGAAACCATTCGAGCAGGCGTCTCCTGAAGAGACCGCCATTGGCGACATTGACGATGTCGTGCTCGATCCAGCGAAGGAGAAGAAGCTTCTATTGAAGCTCGACATGGCCTTTGTGCCCATCATCATGTTGACCTACCTGTCGTGTTTCCTTGACCGCAGCAATATCGGTGAATAACCCCCAATGCATATTCTCCACGTTGGTGCAGCTGGCTAATGATCATCCAGGTAATGTAAAGGTAGCTGGCATGCCTGAAGACATCCACGCCTCTGACAGCGAGTACTCCACCGCCGTGTCTATCTTCTATGCCACCTACGTGCTCTTGGAAGCCCCATGGGCGGTAGCAATGAAGAAGCTCACGCCACGGAATATCCTGACCGGTCTATGCATCATCTGGTCCATCACTACCGTGTTCACGGGGTTCATTCACAATGTTGCCTCGCTCTACGCAACACGTTTGATCCTCGGAGGCTGCGAAGCCGGTCTCTTCCCCTGTCTGAACCTGTACTTGACCATGGTATACCGTCGAGAAGAACAGGCAAAGCGCGTCTCATACCTAATGAGCTGCGCCGCCATCTCCGGTGCCGTGGGCGGTCTCCTCGCCTATGCATTGCTGCACATGGACGGTATAGGCGGCAAAGCCGGCTGGAGGTAAACCTATCCCCCCTTCCTCATCATTCTCAGCCATCCCATTCCCAATGCTAATGAGAGAACCAGATGGGTCTACATCATCGAAGGAATCTTCAGTCTAATCTGCGCCGTCCTAATCTGGTTCGGTCTCCCCAACGACCCCAGCAACGCCTACTTCCTCACCGACGAAGAGAAGTACATGATGCGCGTGCGCAACGAACAACGCCGGAAGTACATGGGCAGTGAGCACTTCAGCTGGGAGGAGATGCGCATTGCTCTGCGTGATCCCAAGCTCATGTTCTCGGCCCTCACCCAGTTCTGTCAGGACATTCTTCTCTATGGGTTTAGTACCTTCCTCCCGACTATCTTGGGGAGTCTGGGGTATAATAGTCTCATGAGTAATGTGCTCACGGTGCCGGTGTATATCTGGGCTGCGATTGTGTTTATCGCTGTTGCGTTTTGTGCGGATCGCTTTGGGAGATTTTCAATCGTATGTATCTTCTTTCCCACTTACCATCAGTTTACTAGGGAGTAAGGAGTGTGCTGACATGATGGACAGTTCATCCTAGTCACCAACATTTTCGGCATAGTCGGCTACATCCTCCTCCTGACTGTCTCCAGCGATCCCGTGAAATACTTTGCAACCTACCTCTGTGGTGTGGCTGTCTACACCGGCGTCGGACTGAACGTCGCCTGGTTGAACGTTAACGTGGCGCCGCAGTACCGGCGTGCACTTGCCATCGGTCTGCAGCAGACGGTGGGCAATTGTGCCGGTATCGTAGCGGGGCAGGTATACCGCACTTCGCCGTATGTACTGGGGAATGCGTTCTCGTTGGGGGCGTTGGTGGTGTCGCAGATAATTGTCGCGCTTCATGCAATGTACCTGAGGCGGGAGAATAAGATGAAAGAGGACATACTGGCGGGTGAGAAGGAAGACACGCGAAGAGTGAAGACTGGCGATGGCGAGGTGGAGTTTAGATACCATACTTAATAACTCTATTTATTTAATCAAAGATATATTGCTCGTTCCAAGTACTTGGTGCTGCTACAGTACAACAAGGAATATCATCCATGACATCCTAATTGACAAGCGACCCCACAACCTCATCGAAATTCTCCTTTTCAAGCCCCAACCTCTCATTCCACGATCCCCCGGGCACCCGTGACCAATCTCCATACGGGCCATCCGGGAACCTCGCCCACCCAGCCGCCAAGAGTAAAACTCTCACGGCAGTCAAGTCCCCACCCTTGAGCCGCTCGGTACTTTCTTCGATAACCGGCTTCAAGGCAACATCAGTGACCTTCCAGTCCTTGCCGGTGGCTTTTTCCAGAGCACCGAGAATCTGCTTCTGAGTGGTGGTGAATGACTCGACGTAGACGTATTGGTTCTGGGTCACCTCCGGGTTCTGCAAAACGGCAACGAGAGCACGGCCGATTTGACCGAGGGTGGTCACGGAGGCCGGGTTGGTGCCGTCGTCGTAGATGGTTGCTTCGTGGGATTGGAGGTTGAAGCCTAGAAAGCCGTTTTTGACACCCTGTTGTGGTACCTTCTTAGCATTCCTTCATGAATGGGACATAGCAAATGATAGATACTATATATGTGTGCTGTAGATCTACTTACCGCATCGAAAAAGGGTCCCGTGATGAGCGCAGTCCAAGTTAGCCGATCCTGTCTCTCCTTGAGATAATCGACGTTGGCTTTCTTGCCGTCGAGAAGCGGTGCGAGAGCCCGGACGCGGTCGTCGGCGGTGTTGTTGCCGTATTCACTGGGGATAAACCGTTTCACTCCTGCATCGACGGCAGCGTCGATGAGTTTCTGCTGGAAGGAAAGACCTGCATTGCCTACGATGCTGATCACGGCATCTTGGCCCTTGAGGGCGGAGACGAGCGAGTCGTGGCTGTAGTCTGATTTGATGACTTGAAGGCCGTCGGGGAAAGTGCTGGTAGATGACTCTCTGGTGAGTGCGGTGATGTTGAAGGCTTTGGATGAAAGGAAGGCTTTTAGGACATGAGAGCCTAGGTTTCCTCCGGCCTGAGAGAGATCGTATGTTAATGTTGAAGGATAAGGAGGGATTGAGCTGGATCACTTACTCCAATGATTACCACGTTCTTTAGCGGGGAGGCCATCTTGCTGGAATAATTATCGGGCTTTGTAGTGCTTTATATGGTTGGTAGTATCGAAGTATCTTGCTGCAAGTTTTCCAATTCCTGTACTGTTCTGCAGATATTATAAGAATGTGACGGTCTTCATCCAGCACTTATATACATCATCTTGCTCATTAGGATTGGTAATCACGTAAGTGATGCCCTCTGGAAAGTGTTTCCTAAATGTGCTTAGCCATAGGTACCTGGATATCACGCCATCTCCATCATCCCGGAATTGATCCCGGTTTACAAATCGGCAGTGAAATGACATGTATAGTTCCGAGGGTCGAGTGCCTTCTGTTCCGGATCCTCGAACGCTAAACCACTTTAGGCGTGAAAGTGCGATTGGTCGAGAAGGGGGCAGAATGACACAACTTAACTGCCGTAGTGGATTATGACTGCCAATAAGCAAAGAAGGCACAATGCACAAAGACAAAGTGTATTCATAAGCATTTACCTAAGCCAGAAACACAACGTACCGCATTAAGCACTGTGCAGGTCCATTGCCACTGAACCTTATCCTTAGCATTTTGTCAGTACCATTGCAATTATTAAGCACCTGAGCTCATGAGTGGCCAGCTGCAAGCATCCTGTAACGGACATTGACGCGCCTCTTCATCCTTCTGGTTGCGTGAGGCCCTCATGGCTGTAATGGGGCAATATGAAACGCCAAGAACTGGCTCAATCAAGAAGAACAGTCAAATCTCGAGGTAATCTAGTCCTGTTAACACCCTAAATATACAAGCCACTAACATAGATTAAAGCGGGGTGCGCACGGTGTAAGCAGCGTGTAAGCTAGTCGGCGATTCCTATGCCAACGTCAGAACACTAAATATCACAGCGAATCAAATGTGACGAAACTAGGCCTTCCTGCGTGGCTTGTTCTCGGAGAGGATACGACTGCCCGGGGTATCGCAAGGATGTCAAATGGTCGGTTAAGCATGAAGCGAAGGGTCTGGCTTCACATAATTTGGAACAATCAGAATCCTCATCACAAAATGGACCTCTTATGAGTTGGTTCACTGAACCAGCGGAGAAGCTACGTCTTGCTTTGCTCAGCGATCTGCAACCTCCCCTTGAGCGTAGCCAGTCCTCTACTGAGACCATTGAGCAATGCGAGACATCAAAACCATTTGTTGAAAGAGCAGAAGCTCCCAATCATTCGACCACACGCAGCGGTCCAGCACTTCCATTGCAGACCTCCGACGCCAAAAGCAGCCCGGGGAAACAACATGACGCTGGGATAGTATCACGACTAACTGATTTGTCTACGAAGTTGCGAGCATACTATTTTTCCGACACATGCCGTATCCTTTCCGCTTATGATTCTCCAACGAATCCACTGCGAGAATGGGTCGCACGGCTATCCAGTGAGCACCCCGTGATCGATGCCTGCGTTCTATCCATGTCGGCTGCACATCTCTCGCAGCAACAGCGTGAGATGAGTAAACTGGCTGCAAGCCACCACACAGCAGCGCTTTCAAAACTTGGAACTGAATTCGACGCTCTGGACAAACAGTCACCGTCAGACTCACCCGATAAGGCTTCACTCTCTCGAAAGAACACCGGATCTACGACTGTCTTACTTGTTGGGATGACTATGATCGGAAAAACATCAGTGTGTTTATCTCTGCTGCTGATATAACCTTCACTAATTCTAACCCCTACCCAGTCATGGAATGATCCATCCTCACTTGGAACGCAGCACCTGGAAGCGGCAAGGGCTATTTTCAAGTCGTTATATTGCGAACGCCACTCTGAGCCTTCTCCAGACTCCTGTTTACTGGGACCAGATGACCCGCGTCCTCGACAATTCTTCGTTGGAGCTTTAGCTTACTGGGAAGCCTTGATGTCTTTTGCCGTAGACAACAGCACAGACACGACAGACTACCTGCTACCCTTCGGCGACGACGAAAGCAACATGTCAATTATCCATCCCTGGAGCGGGATGTCGCCCAAACTCTTCATCTATCTGTCCAGAATTGGCTCCCTCGCGCGACAAGCGCACCATCTACGGCGGGCAACAGCTTCCCCGCAACGGACACAAGAAGGCCGACACGAACTTCTATCGCAAGGCAAGCATCTAGAAGAGTTGATATGCCAATACAAATTTCCCCGTCAGGATCAGTTCCAAAGTACAGGTGATCCATCTACTCCAATCCTCCATTTCCGATTTCTAGCAAGAGCCTATGAACTATCGATTATGCTCGAGCTGTGTCGAACATTTCCCGAGTTGCTGCGCCGGGACCAACGGGAGTTAGATCACGACACTCGAAAACAACATCTGAATACTCTGGCCATCACGATTCTCACGCTGATTGCCAAGATACCTGAAACATCTGGAACGAGGGCAATTCATATGCCGGTTCTTGTGATAGCGGGAAGTACGCTTCAGTTTCAGCGGATTGAAGACATGGATATCGATATGGAAGTATCCACTGAAGGTGCTCCGGGATCATCTCGTACAGGTGGACAATTTGATATACAGTTCTGGCGGTTATTTGTCGATTCTAGACTCGACAAGTTGGCGACTTATATGGGGTTAGATACAGTGCGGTGGGCATGTAGGATTGTGAGAGAAACCTGGGCTCGGGCGGACCGGTTGTTGTTGAGTAGTTCATTGCATGTGCCTTGGATTGACGTGATGATCGATAATGGATTGGAGACTCTTATAGGATAGATTGTCGACAGATTGGGTACCTGATTTGACAGCAGGGTATCTACCACTGGCTCAGAGAGACTCCCACCAGGCCCATGTCTATATTTCATCAGAACACCCAAGATTCCTTGGCCGCTCCTCTCATATCCGCCAGATTGTTCAATCCCCCCCCATCTCAATGGCGAACCGGATAAATTACGACAGCCAAGAGATCTACTCGCAGAAGATAAAAGACAAATTTATCTCAGTTCCTTGCGGTTGCTAAGTTAAGGTTGTAGTCGGAGAAGGGGCAGTACTACGTCACGGCTCTTGGATGACGCCATGACTGACGACGCCTGTATTTATCCCTTGCCCTACCTACTTCGACACCTGGGCCTTTTCACTTCAACAGACATAGTCTGACAGATACAATACCTTTTCAATCACTCTAAACCATATCCTAAATATTATTACAATCCTCGCATCGTACGAATAAATCTACAAGAATACTACAATGGGCCTCTGCATGTCCCTCATGGGCCGCAACCGGCGGAGATACCCCAGTATGGGCATGGGCGGTGGCTACGGCTACCCTCCCCCGCGCCCGCACTACGGTGGTGGCGGGGGCATGCCGATGCATTCCTACGGACGACCCCACGGTCCTCCTGGCGGTGGCTTTGGTGGTCGCAGAGGGGGTGGCTTTGGACCGCCTGGTGGGAGAGGGGGATTTGGTGGGGGAGGAAGAGGGAGATGGTAGATTTTGAAGATAAGGTATGTCGGCAGGTAATCTGTTGATTGCATGTGCTAATATCTGAATGTAGGGCTGGGATGGCGCTAAGAGATACAAGGATATATGAATGGGGCTCTCTGGCGGGCGCACATTGGAGTTTGGAGTTAGCTGTTTGGGTTTTGAACGTTATGGACGTGTCGAAGCTGTTTAGACATGCTTCGTGCGAAAGATAACGATGGAGGGTTCAATTCACTGCCATCTAGTCATCCTCGAGTCAACCGACAGTCCGCTTCGATTAGAACACGATACACATAACATGGTCTTTACATTTCTCTGACTGATGTTCAATGAATCATTTTCGATGGATCCAAGGTACTGGACCTTTGATGGTATATACTACCCTAGACAATGGACTGTGACTGTATGGAACCTGCCGCTCCAGTAACTGTGTCTGGGGTCATCGATTCTTGTTGCACACACATATAAATTACACAAATTTGGCCTAAGCACATACCTAGGCCTCGATGGCTCTCATGAATGCTGGGCTCTCGTAGCCCTCCACGACCTTGGCGATCGGGATGTAGTGTGCCTCTGGGAGCTGGTTCTGCAGCTGACGGACGTAGTGTTGGGCAACCTTGAGCCACAGCGCTTTCTCACGCTGGCTGGCCTCGGAACCTTGCCAGACCCACAGCCGACTGCCAACATCGTAGAGAAAGATGTCGTTTCCAACCAAGTCGGACTTGCTCACACGCTGGCCATCTTTGACCAGGTCGAAAGTGAGTGTGCCGGACGAGTCGCTCAGTCTAAAGAGCTTGCGTGACCGCACATCGCCGCCGTCGTCCGTGCGTTTGGCGAAACGCCCCGGTCGCGGAGCCTGGAATGTGGATGGGTCGGCCTCCTTGCCTCCCAGCAAGTCCACAATGACCCTGGAGCGCGACTCGAGCTGCGACAGAACCTCGACATCAATGTGCTTAGCAAGAGTCATGTCATTGACCACCTGCGCAGCTTTGGCCTTCTCCATGGGGCTGCAGTTCTTGCCCTGCCAGACCCAGATCTTATCACCCTTGTCCAGCACGAACACATCATTCTCGTCGAGGCTTTCCCAGGTGGGCTCCACCTCGTGCACGATAATCGAGCGACCTACAGAAGGATGCTTGAATACGCGAAGCAAGGTGAGAATCTCCTTGGGTGCTTCAGGCTCGACGTGGTGGAATCCAGACCGCACGCCGCCCGACCGGATGGAGATGTGCCGGAACAGTCCCAAGAATTCCTCGGATGGCTCCTGTTCAATCTCGCGATGCTGCGTCGCAGTGCCATGCAGGAATTCATCCAGCTCGACCGTCTTGTAAGCGGCTGTACCGGCTTCATCTTGGGTGGTCTTACTGCCCAGCCAGAAGAAGATGTCATGACCCAGCTTGTCCCCCACCTTGTACGAGTGCAGCACGATGTAGCTGTCTCCGTTGTAGAACTCTCCCGTACGCTCCTTGGGCCATGGTATAACCTCGAAATTCTCGATCCTCCACACAAACAGACCCGGCTCCTGGCCGATAGATCCGTTGTTCCAAGCGGGTTCGGTAGCGGCGGAGTTGTACTTGACACGGTGGTCAAGGTCGGAACCGATTAGTTCCACATTGCTGTCCTTGATGTCGTATTCTTTGGGGTGGACCAGTCCTTCGTGAGGGGGCATGCTGTCGGTGAGAGAAGTGGTAACTGATAATGGAGAACGGCTAATAAGAAGGGTGTTGACTGTTGAGTTGAGGGCATGTCCTGCAGCTGCTGCTTCTGCGGGGTCCGGCAGAACCGGCGGGGGGTAGGGCAGGCGGTGAACTCAGGGGGAGATCGCCCTCAGGCTTGCCTCATGTGGGGTGTTGAACCAGCCCCGGCCAGTTGCCCCGTTGGGATGTCATCAACATTCCACAGGGTCATTTTTTTTTAATGGGACTTCCTTGGACACGGTATCGCTCGCGTGGTTGCTACTCCATACATCCACTGCTCTGGTTGAGCCAATGCTGTTTCCCCATCGATGATGGTCGTCCAACGTATATACCCACTTATGGCCTGCAATACAACCTCCCACGCTCCCCAGGAGACGACGATTCTGTAGAGGTGTGCTCTCCTGCATTTGGAATTTACAGATTGAGCTGCACAAGTATTTTGAACAGGTTATTGCACTTATACCCCTAGCTCTTACTGCTGGCAATGGATCACTTGCTCACCATGACCTTACCATACCCCAACTTCAAGACCTGGGGCATCAAGATTATGCGTCTACTCGCACATTAGTTGCCTGCGAGGGACATCTGTGACGCATCCATCTCTCCGACGAGCAGCAGGGGAACTGAAACCACCTTGAAGATTATATTGAACTTTCCGCCTCTCGATCTGCAGATTTACCATCCCAGCTGTCGCCAGCCACTAAGCTGACGACACCACCAGCTGATGCTAATTTGATCTTGCCGCACCTTGAAACAGGCAGACGCACCGGGTATATCAGGCAGCCGATGAAGTACAAAAAAGCTCCGGGTGATCGTCTTAAGCGCATAAAGTACCGTTGCTGTCTCCAGAATTTCCGCAATACACTGGTACGGAATGCCTTCTGCAGATCACTCGTCATCTGCTTGTCCCTTGCATCCGTTCCACTGCACTGGCCACGTAGAATATGGATCGATCCCTATCAACTAATTGGAATGCTGCGCAAACATTCCTCGCTATACACCCGTTACCTTGGACTGGCTTCCTTCGACTTTCCTGGTCTTATAGAGATTTCCTTGCCTGACCACAGCGCCGTCCAATGAGTACTCGTGCTTTTCGGAAGATACATTTCCATAAACCCCGCGTGCCCCCAGCAGTGCTCCAAACCTCCATTTCAGCATCTTTTTGCGTGCTGGGCCATCACCTGCGCATATCTCCAGATCATGGCGCACCCCTTGATTGGTAGGATGGACACGAGTTTATCCACATAAGCTCTCTGGCGGACACGCAAAGTAACTCAATGCACGATGATCCTCTACCAGATTCAGTGCCTGACGCGTGCTATGCACTATCTAAGTACTACATGTCGCGGACCAGGGGAGATTCACCTTACAGGGATGATCGACTGAAACCACAGTCGATCTACTTTTAGATATGTCCTGTAGACATGGCCCCAATCATGAACGAACTACATATAGTCCCCTGTGACTACAAATTGGCAGACGAGAAAGACACTAGAGCAGGCCCACCGAAAGCGCAGCACGTCGGCCAGACTCAGGACATGGACGAATACTTGCTAAAGAATGACCTGGAGTTCACGCCAGATGGACAATATGTCCGGTGGGCAAAGGGCAACAAGAAGCACCCCCGCAACTGGAGTGCAACACGCAAGGTGTATGATATTGGGTTAATCTTTCTGCTGGATCTCTTTGTGTATGTATTTACACCTTGATGTTGGCACACTGCTAACAACGGCAGAACCGCTACGAGTACTGCTGGTGTATGTTTCTCATCCAACAGTGTGGCATTTCTAATGATCATAGGCATCGGCGGCTTCAGAGGCTCAAAATGAGTACCATATTGGAGATACCCTGTGCACATTCTGTTTCGTCACATTGTACGTTATTCCAGAATTCTGACCGTACTCGACTGACCATACAGATTCCTCATGGGGCAGGTTGTTGGCGCGATTGTCTTCCCTCCTTGGTCCGAGTGCTTTGGACGCAAAAAACTATATTTTATCAGCAGCACCGGTAGTGCGTTATGTTGCCTGATCATCGGACTCGTTCATTCTTTGGTCGCCGTGGTTATTTGTCGCATCGTCGGAGGGTTCTTGAGTGCTATCCCATACACTGTTGGCAGCGGCAGCAATGAGGACATGTTCAACTCGCGATCTCGAATTTGGACCACCTTTCTCTGGACCATTGCCTCGAACGTCGGTCTCCTAATCGGCCCAATTATCAGCATCCTTGTTGTTGAAAATCTACATTGGTATGTCTCCCGATACGGCTGTCCAAAGCCAGTTCTAATTTTGTAGGCGCTGGGTATTTTACATATACACGATTATCCTCGCTGTCATGAGCGCGTTCTTCCTCCTCATCCGGGAATCACGTCCTGCCCTGCTCCTGGCCCAAGAGGTCTCACGCATCCGCCACGAAACGGGCCACGACAGCCTACAGCCTCTGACCCACGACCACTCCCCTGACCTCCGCACCTTCGTCAAAGCCTCGCTGTTCCGACCGCTGCAGCTCTTCTTCGGTGAGCTTCTCATATTTACCATGGCCATGATGATCGCCTTCTCCTTCGCCTTGGTCTATATCTTCACCGAGGCTCTCCAGCCCATCTATGAGTCCATGAACTTCACACCATCAGCTGCCGCTTTGCCTTTCCTCGCCGTAGGTGTTGGTGTTTGTTTCAGCACTTTCACTCGCATTATCGACTTTCGAATTATCGACGCCAAACACGCAGCCTCTCAACCCGTCAAACCAGAAGATAAACTCACCGGACTGGCCATCGGGGCCCCTGCTTTTGCGATTGGGCTGTGGTGGTTCGCCTGGACCATTCCCCCGAAGGCAGAGGATATCCATTGGATGGTACCTACGGTATCTCTCGTGTTAATTGGATATGCATTGAACGAATTCGATACTGTGTTATATGGATATCTAGCAGATAGCTATCTGAGCTATTCTGCTAGTGGCACGGCGGCGGTGCAGTTGGTCCGGGCAGGGATGTCGGGGGCTTTCCCATTGTTTACGCGGCAGATGTTTGATGGGCTAGGAGCGAATGTTGCGGCTTCATTGTTGGCAGCGTTGGCAACGGTGTTCTGCAGTGTGCCGTTGTTGTTTCTGTTGTATGGGGAGCGGATCCGGGCGAAGAGCCGGTTTGCGAAGCATAGTTTGGAGGTTCAGGAGCAATTTGTCAAGCAAGGTTGAAAAGTGCTACTGTTGTGCTTGATTCCCGCGTTTGGGTATTTCCATGACCTATGCAATGTGGTCTGGGCGTTCCGGAGTGCAATCCGTTGATGCAACTTTAGATGAGATTAGATTTGTCAGACACAATAAGTATTCTTAACCACAATTTTATGTAGATAAAACAACGTAGCATGTATCATTCTCATCGTATCGAAATGACATTATTTCATAACAACCCCATCACCACACAAAATCAACTTACAACCCCAAAGCCGTCAAAATAGCCTTTCCAACCCCAGTCGCACTCGCCGGGTTCTGTCCCGTAATGACCGCTCCTCCCAACTCAGCAACCTGCGACACCACCACCTTCTCCCCCCACGGCTGCTCAGCCTTGACGTAAGAAGCACCCACCCTCTTCAACTCATCCTCCAACATGAACGGCATTATCGAGCTCAGCTGCACCTGGTCCTCCTCGGTATTCGAGAACCCAGTCACCTCTGCACCCTTCAACAACGCCGTTCCGGAGGGCGTCGTAGCGTTGACCAGCACCGCAGGACCATGACACACCGCCGCAACGGGCTTCTTAGCCACTGCAAATGCCTGGATCAGGGCCAGAGAGGTCTTGTCGCTGTAGAGGTCGTACATAGCTATTACCCAGAGATATTCATTAGCATTATGTTGGGTATAGACGGGTAAAATATGGGATACATACGTCCATGACCACCAACGTAGAAGATGGCATCGAACTCAGAAACCCGCGACACAACATCCGACAGCTTGACAGTGTTGGTCCAGAGGGATTCCTGCTCCTTGAGGAATTTCTGGGACACGGGGTCCTCCTTGAACATTTCGATGGAGCCCGGGTCCAGCGGGGCTTTGCCGCCGGCTGGGGAGGCGATTACCAGCTCGGCTTTGGAGTGAAGGACGTCCCAGGGGTGGGCGAATTCGGGCTATAGTATTATTTTGTTAGGGAGGAGGTCAGGAAGATATATATTAGGGGATTGGGGAGGAAGCTCACCAAGAACCAACCGGTGGGGTTGTTGTTGGCATTGTGGTGGTCGTGGGAGGTGAGGACGACGAGGACTTTGGGGACCATTTTGGATGAATTGTTATTATTTGGTTGACTTAATTGAATGCCAATTGAGATGATGAGGTTTCCTTTCTATTCTGTAACTTGGGGAGAAGGGACCACTGTGTATTTAAATTTAAATGCCTGGCGGGGTTCTGGCTGGGGTGGAATTGAACATGATGACATCAAACAGGCATAGCTCTGGTGGGGTGATTGCTGATTAGTCACTCAATGTCGTGGGGCCACAGGAGACTTTCCCCAGACGGGACTAGTGTCAGCCATCGATCCCTGAAGGGTTCATTATTCAGCTGGCTTCGATCCTGGTCGGGAGGTTTCTATTGCTTCAAAATGGGTTCTGTTCAAGCATTTCAGGGCTGTTAGTGGCTGCGGAGACAATATGCTTATATCCGGTTCTGGTTGATAATCCTGTCAGCATTTTAGTTTGAGCCCTCTCTCCATTTGTCCGGCTGACCGCTATAGTGTGATGAGCTGTGGGACTGGCTCGCTGATCAGAGCCTCGATACGGAGTGACCCTTAACTGTGTTGTAGCAGGAGATTAGTACTAGTACTATTCTACTGATGTGTATCGGCATGGAGGTTTTAAAAGTCACTCAAGTGCAAGTGTGACGTGATAGTAAGTACTCTCTTATCAGTTTTTGTGGATATATATATATACCACCTACTAGTTAATACTTGATTCCACCTCGGGCAGTTCACTTCAGTACTATCCACATGCTGTACTACTATCTAATTTCACCATGCAAGTGAGACTGTTTCTACTGCATCACATCTAGTGAACGCTCAACATTCACAGATTCGCCAGGATAGCATCAGCGCCCGAGACCTACATTCGTCAGTATACACACCACAATTCCCAACAAGGCGGTTACATAAATGTGGAACATACCTTAACAGCACCCTTCTCCGTCTCAATCTGCGCATAGGTCACCTTGCCATGGTCAATGACAATGGCGAAGCGCCCGGTACGACCAGCGTTGGCCCAGCCAAGGGTGTTGGCGAAGCGGGCATCGGGATCAGTCAGGAAAAGCTACCATCGAAGCATCGTGAGCAATGGAGCAAGGAAAATACTTCCGAAGGGAGGGTCTCACAATATCATCATTCTTAACATTGTTCGCCTTTCCCCAGGCGCTCATGACAAAAGGATCGTTGGAGGCGATCACTGCGACAACCTGCACGCCCTTCTCCTTCAGCTGAGGAAGGTTCTGGATGTAGCCGGGGACATGGTTGATGGAGCAGGTGGGGGTGAAGGCACCTATTATAATGTTTTGTTGGTCGGATGTTTATTTGAACACAAGTAAATTAGGGGGGTACAAACCGGGAACAGAGAACAGGACGACCTTCTTATCGGCCCATTCTTTCGAAGCGTTGTAGTTGATGGGGATGCCGCAAGCGGTGATGTCGCCCTTTTCTTCGCTCCAGGGGATGTACCTGGATGTTTATTAGATACAATAAGGTTACTCGTGTGAAAAACGCACTGGAAGACAACGTCGGAAGGGAAGGAATCGCCGGGTTTGAGAGCCATGGTTATTGCTAGTGTGGGTGGGAGAAGGAATGCAGAGGATGAGGAATCAACTTAGGGATGGGAAGTTGTTGGTGTTGTAGAGATGGAACTGCGGGGTAGTTTAATGAAGGGTGGGAGGAAGTAATCATCCATATTAATAAGTAGCTACAGCTGCAACTAACTAAGTACTCACTAAGTACTAGCTATCCATTAGTCGGTGGCGCCCCCCAAGGTTCTGATTGCGCGATGCCATCCCCGAAGAAGTAAGTAGCTCTGATCCTGCACTGTTCGGAGGTCTCCGTATGCCGCCGTTTTGCTCGGGTCGGCTCGGCAATTGAGATTATCGCTAGTAAATTTCTTATATCAATTCATCGCTCTTAATGCAATAGTGGATTAGATGGGTCTATAATCTTATATCTAGAATCGCTCAATGGTTTAAACCAGTCCAGCCCGCCAGAACTGCACCGGCACCTCCACCTTTGCCCCCAGCTTCTTCGCCGCGTTCATCACCCACTCTGGTTCACGCATGAACTGCCGCGCCATCAACACCAGATCCGCCACGGGCTCCGGTCCAGATACTGTCGCATTGGCGGCGTGCGCCTCGTCGGCGCCTTCCACGAGTCCCCGGGCCTGGTCGGCCTCGGTGATAAATCCGACCGCACCCACCAGCGTCTTCGCGCCGGTCGCATGGATGGCTTTGCGCACCTGTGCGGCCAGATCGATGTGGTAGTTGGTGTGGATGTTGATCTTCTGGCTATGGTGGTTACCCCCGGAGCTGACATCCAAGAGGTCAACTCCGAGCTCTGGAAGCAGAGGCAGAAGCTTGAGCGAGCTCTCCATGTTCCAGCTGCCTGATTCCGCCGCAACAGCCTGTCCGTCCAGCCATTCCGTCGCACTGATCCGCAGGAACAACGGGGTACCGCTGGGGACGACCGCCCGAATGGCCGTCATGGTTTCCCGGAGAATGCGTGTGCGGTTCTCGAAGCTGCCTCCATACTCATCCGTCCGCTTGTTGGTCACCGGGCTCAAGAACTGGTTGATCAGGTATCCGTGAGCAGCGTGAACCTCAATCACGTCAACACCAGCCCGAATGGCCGTCTCCGCACTCTTGGCGAAGGCCTGCACTATCTCCTTGATCTCCTCGACCGTCAAGGCCCGAGGCGCCCAGTATCCCTCCCCAGTTCCATCCCAGGCCTGGTCCGCTCCACCGCTGGGCCCGACCACCTCGGACGGGAATCCGCCTGTGCTCTCATCCGCCTTGACGCAGGGCTTCTTGGCCTGTACGGCTACCCACGGAGGGAGCACACTCGCCTTGCGACCCGCGTGGGCGAGCTGGACGGCTACCTTGGCACCCTGGCTGTGACAGAACCGCACCACGCGCTGCAGACTCTTGAATTGTTCCGATTCGGGGGAATGTTCCCATAGCCCCGCGTCGTTGGGGGAAATGCGCCCGTTGGGCTGGACAGCCTGGGCTTCGACGAAGACGAGACCGGCGCCTTTCAGAGCGAATTGGCCCAGGTGGGCAATGTGGTAATCTGTGAGGGCGCCAACGAAGGGAGAAGAGGTATCGCTTTCGGCGGAGTACATGCACATAGGCGAGACGACGACGCGGTTCTTGAGGGTCACATCGCGAATCTTCAAAGGGCGGAAGAGCGTGGGAGTGTTGGGGTCGGCGGGGTTGAGGGCCTCTCCGCCATTGTTGGCGGGGGTAAAGTAGGGGGTCTCCGTGGAGGGAATCACACGGGGGGCTTGGTGGACAGAACCCATGGCGATAGAGAGGTTTGGATGAAGGGAGCGAGAAGCAATTGCTGTATCCAAGGAGACATGATGAACAGTGGCCGGCTGGGTTTTATACCCAGCGCGTCCGTGAGGTTGAATTGAATTAATAATTGACCCTCCGATGGTGACATTTTCGGGTTGGGGATTTGCTGACAAATGGGCCATTCCCGGATAATCGGATGAGAAGCCCTGCTGTTTCGGGGATGCCCCATGCAATGCACACCAGCTCGCCGAAGATCCAAGGGCAAACTTACTGAGAGAGCGTGTCTTTAATGTCTTTCAAAATCTTCAAGAATGCAGTGTCCAAGCCCCAGAGCGTGTCATGTCCCGTCCCTTTCTCCATGACCGATTCAAACGAGACCACCCCGTTGAGATCGGATCTGGCGAAACAGTCCTCGAAGTATTTCTGTCCCTTGGGTCCAATCATCCCATCCTTCTCTGCAAAAATGGCCTTGATCTGCAAAGGCTGCTTCACCTCCGGGTGGCCTGGTTGGTACAACTGTTCTGCCCGCACCAGCCAGCGGATATAGATCGGGAGGTCTTCACAGACTCCCCACAACCCGGTTGTCTTCTTCAAGCAGACAACAGCCTCATCATTCATTCCTGTGGTATCCTCCAGGAAAATATACTCGATGCATAAGTTCTCCAACTCCTCGGCGGTCCGTGGGTCCAATTCATCTGCAGTAAGATTTGGTTCACGGTGCTCAATGTCTTCTTTGGACGCACGGGGAATACTGCCGCCCATCGAGGCGAGGACTTCCACGCTCGAGGAGAGCGAAGGGACTGCTTTGGTGACTACGAATTTCATCACCTTGTTCCATTGTTTCAGAACGCCAGTAGGGATCATCCTGGCCATTTGTAAGGAGAGAATGTCCGAATGTTTGGGCTCCACCCACGGTGCTGCGAATGTTAGCCTGCTGTGAGTTTAGTTGATGGCAAAAGATAAGCTTACCCATCAGTACTGCCATTGGCCTTTTCGGGTACAGCAGGTCGCGTCGATGCATCAACAAATTCAAGATGTAGATAGTGCCAGCACTGTGGGATATAGGGACGATGTGCTTAATGGATAGACGTTCCAACACCACTGACACTGTCTCCAGCCATACTTGGACTCGTTGTCCAGGGGGAACCGGAGTTGAACCGCCAATGCCGGGCCTAAGATGTCAGCTTTCATCCATGAAGAAAGAGAGAGTGACAAAGAATACCGGTCGATGGAGATCATTCTGACCTCCAGTTTGTTAGCGAGATGATCTTTTTGGCAGCACCATAGCCGGGATCCTGCCATTCCCTGAATCAGCAGCATAGTCGGGGTGGGTGAGCCATCCTTCGTTGTCCGGGGCCCGATGTCTGCATAGGTAACCGCAAGCCGCCCATGGTGTGCAGTAGCAGGCAGGACTATCCGCTGGTGAAAGCGCTTTTGCGCGACGAACTCGAGCAGGTGGACATTATGGGTATTACTTGACATGGCTGTGAAGGCTAAAGGTAAGATTATGAAAGATGTTGAAGTTCAGCCCGGTTCGGTTAGTTGTGTTAGTGCGGGGACCCTGACTATATAGACTAGATTAACGTTGGGATTTGGAACAGGCAGCAACAGCAGAATGGCTTGTACGCGGCCTGTACTCAACAATGATTTCATTCAACAATGTAACCATCCCTACTTACTGCTTGGCAGGACGTACAATTTCCGTCAGCCTTACGCCTGATACACTTTCCTTCCCTCAAACCACGTTTCCAGCACGTTCGCACCCTTGAAATTCCCCTGGCTCAAATCCCGATCGACGACAATAAAATTGGCCATCTTGCCCACTTCCAAACTCCCAGTGCGATGCTGCGCCCCAACAGCCTCTGCTCCGCTGAGCGTCAGAACGCGACAGAGGATCTCTCCTCCGCGTTGCATCGCCGTCTCCCCCAACGCGAGACGCCGGCATCGCCCTCCAGGTTTGTATCGGACGCGTTCAACAATCGCAGCCAGGGCATCAAATAATGATGGCGTATCGGGGAGCATCCAGTCCGAGCCAATGGTCATGAGTGCGCCCGAGGCGAGCACCCCGTTGAACGCCCATTTGTTGAGTTCGGGATACTCTTCCACGACGTCGTGATGGAAGATGGCGGGTGACATTTCCGCAGTCACTTTCAACGGAGCAAACCGCGCGATGTCATCTGACACTTTCATTAACCCGTGCAATCTTTCAACAAGCTGAAATATACGTACCCTTGTGCACCGCATTACAATGAGCAAGCTCGTGTCTGGGACCAGCCGGATTCCCTTCCCGCACCTTGGCGATGACATCTAGGGCCAGTCGAGCAGATCCCTCACCGGCGGTATGCAGTTTACACGTCATGCCCCGGCCATCATATTTTTTCACGGCCTTGTACAGGAAGTCTTTATCCAGCGCCAAATGCGTCGGAATCGGCTGTCCATTCGCATCCAGATCCGCCTGCGTGAATTCCGGAGGCAGTGGAGCCCCATCCAGCCAGAACTTTACAAATTGAGTATGCACATGTCGGCTTCTGAATCCCTCCGCCACATCAAGCAACCCGGCTAGACTATCCTGCGGCTCCATGGCGAAATACACCGGCGCTGACACAATGTGCGTATGGATATCCAGATCCAGCCGGTTCTCCAACTCCAGTTCTCGCACAGCATGTAAGTAGAGCGTATTCGCCGACGCTTCCTGGCAGGACGTGATTCCATATTTGTGGCATATAGACATCGCATGGTGAATCGCGCGTTTGACATGCGCCAACGGCGGGATAGGCAGACAGTCAAACACAGCTGTCATGGCGTTCTCGACTACTTCCCCTGTGAGGGTTATCCCATCTTTTCGGCGGACGTAGTACCCACCATCTGGATCCGGGGCGCCATTAGGATCAATTCCAGCACGGATAAGTCCAGCCGTATTTAGTAAGATTCGATGACAGGAGACTTCGCGGATGAGCACGGGCTGATCGGGGTAGTGATCATCTAGGTATTTGCGATCGGGCACGCCGTTCGGGAAATGGTTGGCCTGGTAGAAGTTTCCAATGAGCCAGTCCCCGGTAACATTGGCGTAGGCGCATGCGCAGGAACCTTTAGCAAGTCGAGATGTGAGGTTGTCGGGCGTCGAGTCGAAGCCGATGCGGGCTTCGTTCAGCCCTTGTAGGCCGGCGACGAGCAGGTGCGTATGGGCGTCGTGGATGCCCGGCATGACGAAGCGCCGGCGGAGGTCATATTGAATGAGGCCGCGAGCCGAGGCGATCTCCAAGATGGCTGCATTCCTACCAATGTGCTCGATGACCCCCGTCGGGGATACAATAAATGCCTCGGCCCAGGGCTGGTCGTCGTTGATGGTATATACGCGACCGTTGTGGAAGGCGAGGGCGTTGCTGGAGTCGATCGACGAATAGACTCGCATTGTGGATAATAGGTTGGTTTCCTATAATTTATAAAAGAGTCCACCTTGATGCTCTTTATACATGCGCTGCCTCGGCTACGTTGAGGTGATATCCGATGCCGGAATAATTCCGTATCACATCGACCAGTCACACCCAACATTTCACTCATCAGACGCCTCCAAGAACTGGTCCTATGCACATTCAATGAATGCGTTGGCTAAGCATAGCTTCCAGGGTAGGTCCCTGTCTAGACTCTCCTGGCCAGGTATTAGTAGACTAAGTACTTTATCCAGCTGCAATTTAAACAAGGCTCTCCTTCTGAAATTGTTAGATTCGGCGGCCATAGCAGTCAAGTACTCGTCGTCTGTTCCCTTTCATCATCATTAAGACCCCGATACTGTGAGGCGGTGATTAGACATGTTCTACTTTATACCCCAGGAATATCTGGGGCCACGATAACTGCCCACTCAAATACGGCCCACGCATTATGATTCTCCCACTGCAGTTGAATCCCCTGCAGCGTGGAAGCAGTCATACGATTTATCTGTTGTCCGACATTGTACGCGCTATACACTGACTTGGCTCTCAAAACATACAGCAAATACATTCAAAGTAACATCTCATAATTCGGCATTAGCCAACCCACTTCATTACAACGTCAACTTGACAGCGATGCAATAGTAATCTGTTGATGAGTCAAGCGGCCAGTAGTATACTGCCCCCATGCCAGCACAACATATCAACTGATGCCTGCCGTCTCGGTATATGCCACTTTACACAATCTACTGGCAGTCCACTCGCATTGGAAGGTACCAATTCCGGGAATGCTCTCACTTTCTCGAGAAGCAACATATTTGATTAAGTATCTGATCCTAAGGTAAACGGCTTAATTTCAACTTCCATTCCGACTACCACCGTACTTCATTCTGCCTACCTCACCTTGCCAGGCCGAGTCGGGGATAAGCTCAATCATATCGCTCGCGGCAGCGGCCATAGCGCTAGTAACCAGAATTAGTAGGCGATCTAGCAGAGGACAAGAATGCTCACCTCATGGTGCTGCTTGCGGCATTCGTGGCAGCGGTTTCCGCGACGACATTCCCAATCATATTCGCAGCGTTCGCCACAGTAGTTTACCTGTTGAGGTAATGAAAGTTAGGCTTGCAGACGAAATTGTGGATTCTGGCTCATACATCGAGAGTGCCATCAGTAACCTTGGTGCTGCCAACATCATCAGTGCTGGACTCCGTTGCAGCCGTAAGGGCAAGACCCAGGAGGGCCATGGATGTGAGCAGGGTGAATCTCATGATTATGCTGATTGGTTTGTTAGCATACTTACAATATAGATCGAAGTTGTACATACATAATAGAGATCAACTATTGGGTCGACAATCTGATAGTGGGTCCTGTCGTGATCGAGCTCGAGAATGTTGCCTTCTGGGGACGGCTAGGTCTATTTAAGCTCTTCGTTAGACCTCAACTTCTACGAACCTTTCATTTAGTTTTGTTTCCTTCCATCGCATGATTACCACTGTACTACTTATTGTCAATGGAAACTTGTTGTCTCGGAGGATGTACTGGATCAATTCGATTCGGAGGGTATCCGAGACACCCCTCTGTGTCCCTTAAAGTCAAGCCTACTACTTCTGCTCATGCAACACGCCCTCCTCGGCGCAGGAACCACCGACGCCAAGATGGGAGAATGTTACAGTCTTCGGTTCAAGTATGGGGTTGTTACAGTCTCCCAGTCATCCTCCCCGCATTCAAGGCTTGTGCAACAAGCGGAGGATACGGCAGTCGACTTTGTGCACAACCTAAAGCCTTTACGCCTATATTTCAAGGCCACTGGGTTCCGACATATTGCAGGGCTAGGTTGTGCGAAGGAAGGTAAAACACCCACGTCGTGTTAATTCCCATATCCGCTCTGGATATATGTGATGAAAGAATGGGTTCCGTCAATTCAGGACAGCATCATCCATCGCAGGTGCCCTGAACAACTGCACATCTTCTGCATGTTACACAGGTTAGCTTATTGTTGACTCCGAAAGCTAATTCTGCTGCCAAGATGTAAGCTTATAATGAGCCAGGCTTGCTCTTATGGCTCGATACATTCGTACAGCTGACCTGATCCTCGGAGACGGCATCGAACATCATGCCATTGGCCTCTGGTGAATGACTTCCCCAATTCTTGGCAAACCATGTATGTGAGCTTGCAATCTCTGCTTCGATGTGGACTTGCACTCGTGGGACTCTACTGCCGTCCGAGCGGCATAGGTAAACTAACTTCCCTCCGTTCAGAGTGCAGTCTAGAGTTTCGGGGACGCCGAGATGATATCAAGATTCTGAAGGCCGCTTCTTGTGCGCCCAGCAAAGTCCACACTCAGGAACATGAGAACCAGGAGATGTAAACTGACTATCATGGAATTGAAAGGCTGACATGCGGGATTCTATAGCCTCTTTAATTTGATTTGATTATGCTCACTTAAAGCTCTGGAAGTCTTAGCGAATATGCCATGGTAGATATGCGCCATTCAGCCATGGATGAATAGTTGATCAAGCAAAAGCACGGGCCGAGCTAAACAGCTTCCTGACATTCAATTGTTCAGAGTGGAGCACCCTATCTATGATTGGATACGGCTAGGAAGGTTACCAGAGGCATGAAGCCACCCTGGACGTCTGCGGTAGTTCTCAGCCATATCCGGGGGTATGAAAGAATGGAAACCCTTGCCGCAAATGTCTAGCTAGGAAGCTTGTTGAAAGAGTGGGGTGCGCACTGGCTTGCCAGGATGGCAGGGTTAGACCATTCAGGAAGACGAAACTGCCTTAGTGGGCAGCTAATCACTAGATAGGTGGAGCCAACAGATAGGCGTGTCCGATATTCCTTTCCTTGACCCTTTCTTCCCACTTTCGCGTTCAATCCTCCACTCTCCATGTATTAAGTAATGTCTGCACTGATACATTGGAATACCCAGTACTGTGAATTGATACAACTGGAAGGGTCCTTGATAGCGAGGCCCCCCTAAACCCCGTGCATGATCTATTATGAAAATCTTGGTACATCTCAGACTTCCAAATGCGGGTCCCGATATACCCGAGCCCACAACTTCCCAGGGTTACATCGATCTACAGGACCCGTCAAAGTCGTGGGAAAAGTGCCCGCCCACTTGCTGAACCGGGACAAAGATCTGTGGCTATCTCCCTGGGTGGTGGGCTACCAGATGGATTGATCCGCGGGGAGTTTTGTTCAACTTTCGCGGAAATTCCGACCGCGAACGGTAATCGTCTTTCCTAATGACGTCTCTTGACGTTTACTAACTACAGGAAGTTATGGCCGTAAGGTAGTGATGTCGTCGTTCCATGGACAATGTGTCATGTGTTAAGGCTGATCTGAGGTGGCTCACGCATAAATTCTCAGAGGCCATATCTTCAGGCGCAAGTCTTCTGGAGAGCTGCAAAAAAAGAATCAGAGCATCGAAACTCTCCATTGACTACAAGCAATAATGACCGCTGTGACACTTCCTCAGCCACTTCCAGTGGTGCCGCCTGAGCCTTATTCCTCGACGAAGACGGCCATCACGAAAGTCCCTATTACACTCGACTGTACTTTACACGACCTGTACTCCTTGGACAATGACACTCCCGAAAACATTGTTCTCGCTTATGATCACCCTTGCAAATTCCCCCACGACCAACTCAATTCGTCTCCGTATCCGCGGTTTCTGTACGCTGCCAATTTCCCCGATATGAATGCAGAAGGGGAGATGCCGAACCTACAGAAGCGCGGTGTCGCCCAACGGTATTCCTTCGTGGCTGGTCGTACCCCTGTCCTGATGATTGACCTGAGTGGGAATGGGGGTGAAGAAGTTTCAAGCCTCTTGACAACGTCAAAGGACGAATTACGGCGTCTCTATGACCAATTGAGCCCGGAGCAACGGCCCAACGCGCAAATAGTCAGGAGTACGCACGATGTCCAACTGACCCCGGACTCGCGTGCAGTATTAATTGTGCCGCATGATCATATGTGCGCAATGTTGAATCAAGCACTAGAACCAGAGATGCTTTACGAGATCCTGTCTAAGCGTTGGCTGGCCGTGAGTGGTCTGCCAACACCAAAGTCCAAGGTTATCGATCCGCTACCGGTAAATTCCTGGATAGCAGGCCGAGACGCAGAAGTCAGACGGATGCTGCAAGCTGTTCAGCAGCAAAGCTTCCCCTTTGTGGTGAAAATATCTATTGCTACCTCGGGCTGTGGAACATTTGTTATCCGACGTGAATCGGATAGAGGCACTGCTATTAATGAGATACGGGGTCTCCTCGAAGATGGGCTCAAGAAATTCAATGAAGAGAATGAGCAACTGTACCCTGCAAGCTTCGTCATTCAGGAGCTAGTGCCAGGTGAGGCCCATGGGGTCACATTTTTCGTTACTAAAAAGGGCCGTGCGGTGTACCTGGCCACGTCTCAACAGCGTTTCACCCAGGAAGGGTTCTGGAATGGTGGGTGCGTGTCGTACCTCTTGCAACCCATGTTTCAAGATCGGTATAGATCTACGATAGAGGTTTTGGCCAAAGCGTTGCACAATAAAGGGTACTACGGGCCGGTGGGAGCCGATGTCATGACAGATGCAAATGGGGAGCATGTTATAGTCGATGTCAACCCACGCGTTACCGGATCTTACCATTTGGGGCTGCTTAAGACCCATTTCATGCAACGTGGCTTATGTGAAGCGGCAGTTCTCTCCCGCTTAGATATTCCTTGCACGCAGAATGCGTTCGAGGAACTCTTCGCGACGGATATTGCGCAAGGAAGGTTGATAATAAATGCATGGGTCACCGATTCTAAAAAGGAGAGCAGCCATGCCGTCCTGACGGTGGGAGCGGAGGACGCTGTCAAACTGGGTCGGTTGATTCGTGTTATCGAGACATTTGTCAAGACGGGAGAATATGCTGAAAGTGCCGAACTATGAGTAGATGATAGTTGTTCAATTTGGCGTTTATTGGTGTTTCTTGATAGAGGTAATATAGCATAATCACCAGCAGCATAGCCATCCTAGGCCCCTGCTTTCTTGATCATCGCTAAAATGCTTCTCATCGTAATATCCATCATCCTCAAAATCATTCGGATCATCCTTATACCGTCTCTGTTCTTTCTCAATACCCCTTATCCACTCTATTTCCAATTCAAAATCCCCTTCCTGTTCCCCGAAGAAACTATTACAACCTTGTCAGCACCAGACAAACGCCCCCAGCCCAACCAACCAATACAGAAAAAAAGACACTTACCTCCGAATCATAATCCCAAACTGCTTCACTCCCGCTAAAATCAACGGTCTCCCCATATGCACCTCCCTCCCACGATATGTCGGCCGAAATTCCTTCCACCCCAACTTTACTTTCGTCTGCCCCTTCTCAACCTTGAACTTTGCCTCCCAGACCAATCCGCTCCGCTGGCGCCCATCCGGTCGAGGGTCCTGCAGTTCATCCCTCAGATTCAAAGTGTACGTGTGTCCATCACTTTTAGGGATAGAGAGTTCCAGTCCAGCGTAGCTACTCAGATCCCATAAGTCGGTTGTACTGGCTGTGTGTTGCGAGGCGAAGCCTGCTCCGCCAAGTGTCTTGATGTCGAGATTGCCGTGGAAGGTGACGGTGTTGGTGTCGTCGTTGGTGGTGAGGTGAGATTGCGAAGAGCCACCGCGGACACGGTCATCAGAGGAGGTCCAATCGGTGGAGGACCAACGTCTTTGATTTGGTGGTTTGTTAGGTGGGAACGGACGTGATGGTTGTTTAGGTGGGTGGACTTACTGCGGTCCCCCGAAGAAGTAGGGGCCAGATGGACGTTTGGTACACATTTCTTGTGTATATGCGTTGCGTTCTGGTTGAGGTTGGTGGGGGAATATTGTGAATGTTTGGAATTTTGCGATAACATTGGAATTGTTGAGAATGGATAGAATGTGGATCGATCGATCGCCGCGGTCCGGACTCGATGACGTCGGTGCTTTGTATAGCTTCCGTTGCCGCACTTTATCGATCGGGTTTGGGTCGCGACGGGGCTAGACTTGCTTGAGTTCACTGTGTGAAGCTTGAATATTGAGTAGAATTGCATTGTTTCGTGAATGTGATACTTAGGGTTACTTTGATTGCTGTAGCTTCGGTTACTATTGTAGCTCAATGTGTCTCGTGTCATGATGAGCATGTCGTGACTAGTCTGCCCTACCTGCCACTGCCTTCAGGCTAGGTCTTATGATTCCTCGTGAACAAAGCTATCTACTGTATAGGGCCATTGCCATTGTCGTGGATCTTATCAATAGTCAGTAATGTAAAGGGTGAACAGCAGCCATTCTATAATCCAAGCCGCTGCCACGCAGTTACACAAGGAGGGATCTCTCATTGCAGGACATGATCCCCTCGGTTCAACCATGATAACGTCGCCCTGACGCAAGCTCGTAAAAGTAGAAGCCAGCTTGTGAAGAAGACAAAGAGGTTATAAGCTTATCCGCCGGAACACGAACCGACTGTCGCTCTCCCGACGGACGGACGCTTAATTTTGACGTCACCCACCCGCCATCGAATCTAGAGCTATATTAACAGTCAAGCCCTCGTTTCTTGGAAGTAACAATACATAGCACAGATATACTATATCGTATCAGCCTATTCACTATCTAGTCGGTCATATAACTTATTGACAATTCTACCGTTCTCAAAACACAATGGCCGCTGCTGGAGGTCTTACTGGCGGTCACCCGCCCTCTGTTCGGTATGTCTTTGCTCCCTTCATTTTCGAATGTATCATGCGTGGTTAATTGACCAAAGCAGCTCTCGCAACATTGCCATCTTCAGTGTGATCGGAATGATCGCTGGTGGTTGGATGTTCTTCCGCGCGCAGTCACCCAGCAAGGAAGAGAAGCTGTACTCGCAAAAGGACGTCCATACCATGGTTGGCGGGCAGACGGGCGAGAACAGAGTTGGTCGCGCACCGAGCCATCAGAAGAAGGATTGATTTAACGTGTGGAAAGGGTATGTCTGATCAAGGGGTGTATAATTATAAATTGAAGGGGCATGATGGAGGCGTCTGGTGTTATGACCTTCAATGTTTGCATATCAACTGTTATCTCAGTTTATCATGTACTATGATGATAATGTTATCAAGTCAATGCAATGGAATGGATGGATATCTGTCATGAAGAGTATGACTGCAGCTGTGTGCTTTTTCTGTCCTACCCATCGAGTCGCAGTGATGCCCAATCCTGCTCGCGATCGTGTCAGTGGTGGAAGAGGTATCCACATCTGAATGTTTCACAACAGTAGTGGTAACGGGGATGTGCCTGCCTCTGACTGATGACATCCACGAGCTCTTCACGCAGGCTATCTGGCTGTCACGATCATTTCTTATTTTCTTGCCTCAGGCTCCGAGATAAGCGTCTCTCATGATTCTCTGAGCTAACCTTCTCCGGTTAGACGGTGTACCGAATGCGATTAGTGCAGCATTAAATGCCGACAATCAGGCCAAATCGGGAAAAGCCGCGGTTTTCGCTGGCGATGATGGCTGGCTGACTTCTACGGATCATCGAGGGTATGCACATCGCCTATACGCTCCATCGTTGAAACCGATTGTTGTCACCATTTTATTATAAATAGAAGAGACGTATAATCAGTGAATATACTCAGGTTAATATTGCCCACTGGCAAACGCCAGATGATAACATCCGTCACTGACTCAACCCTTGGTTTGACCAAATTTATATATCACCCATACTCCTCCTAGTATGAGTAGGCTGTAGTAGGAGTTCGACATAATGACACTTCCTCTACTACATGATCAAAGCCACAGACGAGATAGTATATTCCGAAAGCATATGCATTCTCACTACACTAGTCGTTACCGGCATAAGGTATTACAAAGAGTGGCCTCTCGCCCCGACGCATCCGCCATGCATTGGTGGAACGAAACAAGTCCCAGCAATCCTTGACGGTCCATCCCCACAATTCCCAAAAAGTCTCGGTGATCTCCCAGCCAGCGGGATCCCAGGGGTCTTTCCACACGATCACGCCCGTTTCTCCTATCCCCGTCTGACGTCTATGACCCGTCCCAGGTACCTGAGAGCGGTAACCGCACATATCCCGACATAATTGGCCATCGTCCATCAGATTCTCCATTAAGATCAGGTTGTCGCGCATCCTAGGTATGGGGATTAGATCAAGCCAGGGATGATGGGGCACGGTTCGTTGAATCTCTGTGGGTTGCAATGTAGGTGGCAGGAGAGCCTCCCGACCGATTGTTGCTAGACATCGTGGTCCAATCAGGGCGAACATTGATAGTGCCTCGTCAGCCGCCATATCTTTGGCATTATAACCCAAAATCTCAACATTGGTGTACAATGCCCGCAAAATGTTTAACCGAGTTATTCCCAATCGCATATCGGCGTGTGGTGAGCCAGTTGCAAACTCAACATGCACCATAGCCTCTAGTTGCTGCAGGATACTGCGGGACTTCGCGGCAAGCGGACCAAAGATACGGAGTTCATCCAAACATTGAAAATCGAGTTGATAGGGCGTCGACCCCGTTGTAGACCACGCGTGAGGATAGTTCGGCTCAGATCTTTCGGGCAGCGCTTTAGTCAAGTGCTGGCGGCGCCCTATCTGAATCGTCAGCCAGCCCACTCGGCAGAGACTCGTTCGCCAACCTACTTCGGGCCCTCTGATTTAACCTGTTCTGCAACCTGCGCCTTTCCTTCGGATCAGTCACACCGATCCACACATCCTCGAGTCTAAGCTCAATTTGCTGCGGCGGTGATGTGGAGTCGCGGTGAGCAGCTGCATGTCCTCCTACTGCTTCCCGCATGGCTGATCCACGTAGAGATGCGACGTGCAAGATGAGTGGTAGCACTGCTCGAACTGACACTTAGAGAACGCTATGATGCTGTGTTGGAGGGGCAGACACTGGTTTGCAACGATGATTTTCGCTCTCCACCGTTATCGCCGATCTTATATCCGGCCCATGTCATCCACCGTCCCCACGGCTTGGCTCTATGCCTGCCGTTCTTATAGACGGCATCCTCCATGTTCATGTAGGCAGTGGAACATTGTGTAAGTGACGACAACATTGAAATATTCTGGCAATGACCAGACCGTCCTGCACACCAGATTGGTACCTGATGGGCATTATGATGGACCACATTTCAAGGCGCATATTCCGACATCGTACCGCTCGGCGGGCGGGTTGATTATTGCTTGACTCGGTTATTATATCAGAACTCCTTGCTTTTCTGCATTTGAGACAAACAAAGAGCCGATGGGTGTTGAACGGTCTTTCCCTTGCGGCACTCAAATTCAGACGGTACGCGAGGTCGGTGCAAGGGATGCAATACCCAAAAGAACAAAAAGTGAGACTGATGAGCATCATGGTTATAATGTAACCTCGGCTCGGACACCCCAAAAGTGGTATTGAACTTGCCCATCCTAGTTTGACTGTGGGAAAGAGTTTCTTTTTTCAATTGATTTTTGCGCAGCGCGATCGGCAAAGTCCTGGCAGCCGACTACTATTAGCGAGAAAGTATCTAGGAACATTTGGTTCCAAAATATAACCATCCAACTGGTTGTATATATGCAGCATTAGGTTGAAAAGGGCCAGCTGACCGGGACACCAGGGCGATCGGCGTTGACCGCAGCTGAAGGTTCTGCTATCGCTCGCTCGGACACCTTCTGGCGCAAAACAATCCAATCAGGAGCTAGATGTTTCTGCTTCCTTCCATGTATATGTGAGCCATGGGCATGGTTATTCTTTCCACAATGCTTGTCGTGTATTGGCCTTGTCTTGGGAGCATCCGCTGGAGTTCTCATCCCCATCTTTGTCTGGACTAAATCCTTTAAGGCTGGCGTCCGCGGCCAATGGCCAGACCTTCTCTCTTGGGATAGAACTCCGTACGTCTGGGCACAAGAATCCACACACTGACCGTGTTCGTCATTGCTGGGCTTCGTCCAGACCATGCCACTGTGGATGCAAGAGGAGTGTCTATCTACAAATGTGGTGTTAGAGTAGTTGTGGGGACCATGTAAACTCTAGTAAAAGAGACAAATATGACATCTTATCACCTGCCAGCTCCCTACATCTCAGTGTTGCCTTAGCTGCAATCTACTAACCAGGATGTCGGCTGATGGGAATGTAAGACCGGAATCGGGGTACTACCCCACCCCAACACACTAATTCGCATTTTTTTTCACTCTAATAGGGAGCAAATCAGCGTGAATTGATCACACGATTGCCACCCGCTGCAGGGAGTGACAAGGGCATGAGCGCGATGGCTCCCGGGAGAATACCTCTCGAAAAGCGGGGAATGGAGTAGCAATTAGCCCTGACCAGGATTCGGAGACTCGCGGCCAATAAGCTGAACTCCGATAAGTAGATAAACGTGCTAACAAGCTTGGAGAAGATGGTTGATCGACCATCGATTAGCTTCCATCCTTAGCTCCATCCTGGCCCCTCAGCGCTGTCCGCGATAAGGCCAGTCAACGCGGTGCTCCAGCACGCCATCCAACGCCAAAAGACAGAATCAACGTCGGTCCACCTTAATCAATGAATTTAGTATAGAAGACGCAAGAGTTGACCCCAATGGTGTTTGGTAGGGCTCGTCAACCCTGGACGATTGCTGCCTGCCACATGGCGACTCCTCTGTCTAAAACTTCGCGCGGGATTCCAGAACTGCGCCGAAATATGCACAATGGCCATCCGGTGTCGGGCGCTCCGATGCCACCATTGAAAGTGGATATGACTCGTGGACTGAGCGGCATGTTATCACAAACCTTCACGGTTGGTGACACTGCATCCGCTAGAGCTTCACGGTCGGTCTTGGCCTGCTGGGGTTAGGAGCAAGGGAACCAATCTGCTAAGCGTCTCCCCCGATAGGATGGTGTGCTTCACCTGCGGGTTGTTATCATTTACGGTGGGACTATCGCCAGACTGCAGCTACTCCTGCCACTTTTGTGGTACCTGCTCAATCGTTGTGACAGATAAGATGCAGGTATCCGCGGGGTCTATGGGCGCTCCTGGGTAATATTATTGACCTCGGTGCATATCCCTTACAAAGGCTTGCTCATTCGGTCGCTCCTGCGCCAAACGTTGTCCTCTTTGTTACTCAGGAGGCAGCAGGCATGGATTCGGTTCATCATCCAGAAAATGAGGCCAAAGATGCCATCGAGACTAAGCAAGCTGGTGTCACCGACGTGGACGCCGAGCTGCTCGAGGAGAATGATGATCTGAAAAGGCAGAACATTGTCGCCGAACAGAAGGAGCTTACTCCTCTCGAGGCCTTCAAGTGGAACGTTGAGGGGGACCAATCGCCCTGTGAGTATTGCTGGCCTGTTTGGCTGATATGGTTCGTTCACTGATAGCGGTTATTCAGTTCCAGAAGTCGCTGCGTGTGTGCCAAACACCGATGATCCTACCTTACCATGCAACAGTCAGTCAATTCCGTCCAGGCGAATGGAGGGGTGTACTGGCCAACATACTGATGTGGCACAGCATTCCGGGCATGGGTTCTGACCACGATATTTGTTATGGTCTTCGCGGCAGTCAATCAATTTTTCAGTCTGCGATATGTACGTGCGAACCTCCATTCGTACGTCGTGTCTGGAACTAACTGTTTAGCCATCCCTCACTGTCCAATATGTTGTCGCTCAGTTACTCGTCTACCCCATCGGACGAGGATGGGAGAGGCTGCCGCGATGGAGGATACCTCTTGGAAGATTGTCCTTTGACTTGAACCCGGGGCCGTTCAGCATCAAGGAGCATGCACTCATTACCATTGTAAGCGCAATTAAGTATACTATGGCGTTTGTACCCCAAAGTCTAATTGAACCAGTGTGTGAACATCAGTGCCTCAATTGCTTATGCCTCCGGCTCCCTCGTAGCCATCGTTATGCCACAATATTGGGGCAAGGACTACGGGGCGGGGTTCTCATTCCTATACCTCTTGACGTCGCAAATGATGGGGTAAGTGTTCCAATTGCACTTCCCACCAGCACACCTGCCTGACAATATAGGTTCGGCCTTGCTGGAATGTGCCGGCGTTGGCTCGTCTATCCTGCGGCCTTGATCTGGCCTCAATCTCTATCTTCCACGGTCTTGTTCCGTGCCCTGCATGAGCCCCAAAATACCGCACCCGCCAACGGTTGGAGACTGAGTCGGTATAGCTTCTTTGGGTACGCGACTCTGTTTGCCTTTGCCATCTACTGGTTCCCCGACTACATCTGGACAACTCTTAGCGCGTTTGCATTCGTCACTTGGATTGCACCGCACAACCAGAAGGTCAACACGATCTTTGGTGTAAGTCTTACATACAGTATGCTTCCATAGGCTTGCTGACTTGGGTAGATGAACTCGGGTCTGGGGCTGCTGCCGCTCAGTCTGGACTGGACGCAGATTAACTACGCCGGATACCCTCTTATGACCCCTTTCTACATTACCTGCAATGCCTTTGCCGTGGTAGTCTTTTTCTACCTCTTCCTCTCCCCAATCCTATACTACAAGGATGTCTGGTTTAGCGCATAGTGAGTGCCCAACCTTGGATACACATGGAGATGTCTGTTAACAGCATGCTCAGCCTGCCTTTGCTTTCTTCTTCCACCTTCGACAACACCGGAAGCGAATACAATGTGACCCGGGTCGTCGACTCTAACGGGGATTTCGTCCTCAGTAAATACAAAGAGTATTCGCCAATGTATCTTTCCATGTCGTACACGCTCACCTACGGCTTGTCCTTCGCGGCGGTGACAGCCATTGTGGTTCACACCTACCTTTACAACGGATCCGAGATCTGGGCCAAGTTCAAGAACGCTCGTCACGGTGGTGAAGACATCCATCGTCGCTTGATGCGTGCTTACCCTGAAGTCCCAGACTGGTGGTACGGCGCGTTGTTCGTTGTCATGGCGGGCCTGGGAATCCTCACCACGAAGTATTGGGAGACGGGTTTGCCGGTCTGGGGTTTCATCGTGGTATGCTGTGGAATGGGCGTGGTACTCATTGTCCCAGAAGGCATCCTCGAGGGGACAACAAACCAGCGTATCTTCCTCAATATTATCACAGAGCTGATCGCTGGTTACGCTTGGCCGGGCAAGCCCATCGCCAACATGATGGTCAAGTGTTACGGGTATAATGCCGTTAAGCATGGAATGGATTTTGCTCAGGACCTCAAAATGGGGCAGTACATGGTGAGTCTAACTGATCGATAGCAGGCTGCAAGTATTAACAGGTCTAGAAAATTCCTCCCCGTGTCCTGTTCTTCGGACAGATATATGCCAGCATCCTCGCCACAATGACGCAGACCGGAGGTAAGGGCATGATTATTAACCAAAGAACACAAGCTGATGATAGGTAGTGCTCCGGTGGATGATGGGAAATATTTCGGGGCTATGCGATACCGACAATGCCCAGCGATTTACCTGCGCTGGCGCCAAGGTAATGTATAACGCTAGTCTGATCTGGGGTACCATTGGACCACAGCGGATGTTTCAGTCCGGGCAAGTCTATCACTCGTTGATGTACTTCTTTCTCATCGGTGTATGTTTGAGCGGCTCCTCATATGTTGTATACTTGCTGATAGGTTTAGCCCGTGGTGACGGTGATTGTGTACCTGATCTACCGACGTTATCCGCAGAGTTGGGTCAAATATGTCAACGTGCCCATTTTCTTCAACGCTGCAGGAAACATTCCTCCTGCCAATACTAGTTCGTTTGCTCCTTCATACCATCCGAGTATACGAAGAAATGCTAACATGGCCCAGCACAATACTCGCTCTGGTTCATTTTCGGATTCCTGTTCAACTACCTCATTCGCAAACGTGCCTTGGCTTGGTGGAAGAAGTACAACTGTGAGTACTCCCCGTCCACCAGTGAGACGACATCAAGTGCTCAATACTAATTACTACTCAATAGACCTCTTCCAGGCAGCGATGGATACCGGTACGGCCATTGCCACCATTGTGATTTTCTTCGCCCTCGGGTACACGAACACCACCTTCAACTGGTGGGGTAATACAGTGGGATCGAACACCGACGATCAGAACTCCGTGCCATGGCTGACAGTGCCTGTCGGGGGCCATTTCGGCAAGGGGCCTGGTGAATTTTAATAGAATTTGGCCATCATGGGCACACTGTGGTGGGGTAGCATTGTGGATACACTGCCGACATAAATGTCATAGTGGAACATGGTTGCCCCGTGGATTTTAGTATAACATTGATATATATGATGTAGAACAATGAGATCAATAGTGAATATACAATAAGATGATATGGTATAAATCCAGGTGCCTACCGCCTGGAGCAAGGTTAAGGCGTAAGCAAACAAGATACTAGCGAGATCAGTGGAAGCGTGAGGAAGATGGTAGAGGAAAAGCACAATCAGAACATGGTATACTTATTCTCCGATAATCACACATCTACATTATGCATATTAAACAAAAATAGATAACCGCCGAGCAATCAGGAGCTGCCCTGATCCGACGGAACCGATTTCAGTGACGCTCTGACAACCACATGGATTGATGCAAATCATACCAGCCAATGAAGACTTATCGGTCAGCCGCATGCGTAAGGCAGTGACATCAAACGCCTCTAAACAAATTGACTAGTCCAGCCCACTTTCATCCCTTATCAACATGTCTTGTCTTTGTATACCAGAAAATTTTGTGTGCCCAACGCCTATCCTCGGATATCCTCGGTTGGTGTCGGGGTCAGCCACATTACCGAGCGGCTAGCCGTTGCACGAGCCACAACGCCGAGAGTATCCGCTGTCAAGTTTGGAGGGTATTATCCAGGGCAGACACCATGATTGGCTTCATGCCATCAGGAACGGAGTTGTGGCTGGTGGATCAGGGCCAGAAGGGAGTATCCGTAACGACGCGCGGAAAAAGATGGATCGGGGGGACAAGGCATTGTTGGTGTCTCGGGCTCGGGATGGGTATGGTGCCATGGCCAGAAGGTAATGGAACAGCTATGAAAACCCTGATAGTGGGTGTTTCTCCAGTATGGCAATGGGGCCCTAGTGAAGTGGATTCTTCTTTTTTTTTTCTCTTTCTTGCTGGCTAGTTTGTAGCATGGGGCTCTTTAGTCACTGATACTTATATCTGGTGGTTGCCGTGTCTCTTGCCCAGGATGATTGTGAGAAACGAGCACGGTGTTGTTTCACTTGGTCTGCAGAGTGCAGTGCTACCGGCAAGCCATGGAGCACGTTACCGAACACACCAAAGAAATCTCTCCGATTCATACCTCCGATAGTGAGGACTACTTCGATGATCATCCCGATGAACATCCCGATTCCCTTGAACTTGCTCGCATCAACACATACCGTCTACAACAACGTGCTACCGTAGGGTCCACGAGAGGCCCTGAGCCTCGCCAGGAATGGCTGCCCATGGGTGCTGGAAAAGAGTATCCGCCTTCGCTTCCTGATCCGGAGGAATATGTCGTCGAGTTTGATGGTGCAGATGATCCTCTTCATCCTTGGAACTGGTCTATCTTGCGGAGGTAGGTAGGACTTGGAGAAGGAATACGTCGTCTCGATATGAAGAAAACATTGCTCACCGCATCTAGGAGCGTTCTAGTCACCATCCTTTGCTATTGCACCTTCGCCACAGCCTTCACCAGTGCCGTTTTCTCTGCCGCCGTCAGTGCTGTAAGTGAGGAATACCACGTCGGTCGAGAAGTCAGCACCCTCGGAGTCACCTTGTACGTTCTCGGATTCGCTGCTGGACCGACTATCTGGGCCCCGGCCTCTGAACTCATTGGACGACGCTGGCCGTTGTCTATCGGGCTCTTCGGATGCGGTATCTTCACCATTGCCTCTGCCACCGGGAAAGACATTCAGACCATCATGATCAGTCGCTTCTTCGCTGGTCTTTTTGCTGCCAGTCCCGTCTCGCTTGTCCCCGCCGTCTTTGCCGATTTGTTCAGCGCAGCGCACCGTGGAGTCGTCATGTCGATCTTCTGCATGGCAGTATTTATCGGCCCGTTCGCTGCGCCATTTGTGGGCGGATTCATTGCCGCGAGTCCGTTGGGATGGCGCTGGACCATGTACATCTCGGCTATCATGGTCTTTCTTGCCTTCGTGCTGGTGTTCTTCTTCCTCGATGAGTCGTATGCACCTGTCATTCTGGTCCGCAAGGCTGCTGTTCTCCGTCGACAGACCCGTAACTGGGGCATCCATGCCAAACAGGACGAGGTGGAGGTTGACATCAAGGAGATGGTTCGGAATAACTTCACTCGTCCGTTGAGTATGCTTATCACTGAGCCGATCCTGCTTCTCATCTCGTTGTACATCTCTTTCGTATACGGCCTCATCTATGCCCTTCTCGGTGCCTACCCGGTCGTCTTCGATGACGTTTATGGGATGAGCGCGGGCGTGGGAGGACTCGCCTTTATCGGTCTTATCCTGGGAGAGCTGGTTGGAGGTGTCTTCATCCTCTGTCTGCAGGGATCCTATAAGCGCAAGCTGGCGGCAAATGGGGGCAAGCCTATTCCCGAATGGCGTCTTCCGGCTGCGATTGTCGGCGCCGTTGCGTTTGCCATTGGCATGTTCTGGTAGGTATCCTCCTTCTTAGTTACCATGCTGGACGGTGCTGACAATAAGCAGGTTCGGTTGGACCGGATACACGAATAAGATTCACTGGATGGCTCCGACAGCAGCTGGTATCCTGATCGGGTTCGGCATCCTGTGCATCTTCCTGCAGTGCTTCAACTATATCGTTGACTGCTATCCCACTTTGTAAGTAACTTCCTCCTGCCCACCATGACACCGTGCTAACGACAGTAGGGCTGCATCCACCATTGCGGCGAACACCATCCTCCGATCGGCTGTGGGCTGCGTCTTTCCGTTATTTTCACGCCAGATGATGGTCAACTTGGGCGTGCAGTGGGCGGGCACTCTATTGGGGTGTATTGCAGCCATCATGATTCCCATGCCTGTTGCATTCATGATATTTGGGCCGTGGATCCGTCAGCGGAGTAAGCTGGCTGCGTCGCCGGCTCGCGATATGGAGAAGACCTGTAATGCTTGATGTTGTTATGACTGAGAAAACTGTACATAGAATAGATTAATGATGTTATGTTTGCACCAGAAACTATCTCTTGTAGCTCGGGGACGTCCTTGAAGACCGGCACAGCTTTGGGGGAACAGGCTTCTCCCCGATCTACCCCTGCTCCGGTAGCCAGGTCGTCATGAGATTCATTCTTATCATCCTGTAGGGGTAAGGATGAGGCTATAGTGCGGTTCCTTGTCGTTCGCCAATACCAATTCAATATATAAAATAGGAGGTTAGTATACTAGAGTTCACGGTAATTGTCAGCTGCTCAAGACGGAAATATATATCTACTAACTGCCACTATTATATCGTGATAAACTAGAGCTAAATCAGCAAGCAATTCCAAACACCCCACTGTCTCCGCCACTTATTTGGGACTAGACTGGCCTACAAAGCAGAAATGTAGTAGTATTCGAGAATGCACGAGTTTGTCGTGAATGAGAACCCCCACCGAAGTGGTTGCTGAATTGAGATGGTCAGCGTGCATGGGACACGGCAGAGAAAGAGTGATGGGATCCACTCTGGCTTGCACAAGCTGATCCTGCTGGCCCCCAATCCATTGATTGCATGCGCTGGCCAACTTTAGCTCCTCCACTCACGATGATGATCCAAGTAGCCTGGATTGCTGATTGGGAGGAGCAAAGAACACCTAAATTGCGCCTCAACACAAGCCCCCCGCTAGTTAAGATAACAGAGAGTCAAAATGTCGATTTTAGACCACTTCCCCCACTTGAATGAGGAGCTTGATTTTTCTGTTTCTGTGTCACTCTGCTCCTGTATCGCGAGCGAACTCATTCATCGATTTTCTTCATCATAGCCTGGAATAGAAGGATCATTGCAACCATGCCGCCATTCGAGAAGCTCAGGAAAATGCACAGCCCTTTCCCAGGCTCCTTTCGCAGTAGGCTCACTCCCCCGTCTATACCACACACAGCGACGTCGGCCTGGGTTCTGCGGTTGCTACAAAAGACAGCGACTGACTAACAATTCCTGCAGGTGAATGTAACAAAGCCGCCCAGATTCTAGATGCCTTTACGAACCCATTGAACCCAGACGGCCGCGATAGTCTCATTCCCCCGAAGATCCTCGGAGCTGCCAAGGCAAGTGGCATTACAACGGTCGCAAATAATCCCCACGCCATTGACTGACCGGTCGAGCGCAGGGCTTTGCAATATTCTCTGTATCAAAACTGGGCATCGTTGGATCGGTACGAATGGGCTCGGGCATCTTAATCGCCCGCCTCGAGGAGGGCGACTGGTCTGCGCCTTCGGCCATTCTGACAGCGGGAGTTGGAGTAGGGTCCCAGGTGGGCTTGGAGGTGACCAACTTTGTCTTCGTCCTCAACACAACCAGCGCTGTTCGCACATTCGCCCAGCTGGGGAGTTTGTCCCTGGGCAAGACTGCCTCGTTTGCCATGGGTCCATCGGGTAGATTTGGAGAGGTCAACGGGGTGGTCAGCGCCGGTGGAATGGCGGGCATTTTCGTCTACGGTCATAATCAGGGTTTCTTTGGTGGCTTCAGCACCGAAGGGAGCATGATCTTCGAACGCCGCGGCGCAAACCAGAAGCTATACGGAAAGAAGATCAAGGCGCGCGATTTGATCGAGGGCCAATTCCCACCTCCAGATGAGGCGGACGAGTTGATGCGCGTGTTGCGCTCCGATCTCTTTGCTCCTCGACCAGAATTGTACGCGACCTCCTCAGCGTCCACCAAAGGCTCCATCTCGTCCGGACGGCCGTCACAGTCGTCTGCAGGAACGGAAATTCAGAAGATGCCCATCGAGATGCCCGCCGATGAGATCGTCCAGTTACCCGCCGAACTGCCCGCTGAATTCATCGCCGAGCTTCCAGCAGAGGTGGTGCCGGATATCTACTACGACAAATCGGTTGGCTCCTCGGAGACGCTGCTGCCCGAGTTGCCCTCAGAGACAGCCTCGCTGCGGCCTGCGAAGAGTTGATTGCATCAAGGAGAGGAACAGTACTTATAACAAGGGAACATCACTCAGATGTTGAACTCTTGAGAGGCAACTCGCTCCCAGCACGGTCGGGGCTGCAGAAATAACAGTGAATAGCCTTGGCTGGCCACGATCGGACCTCTCATCACAGGAGCATGCACGATGCACACTGAAGTACTATCCCGGAAAGGAATCTCAACCTCGCACCTAATGGTTGCTGTTGGATCGTCCCAAGTAACTAGCCACATCCTCTTAAGGCAAGCAAGAGAGGGTGATGGCGCGCATGGGGAGGATTAGGGAGCAAGAAAGTGACACGCGGCGAGTAAGCTGGAACAGCGACTCCTACAGTATTATCCTAGCTTGATATATAGCAGTGAAAGTAATCATATACAGTGTGATGGTGGGTGCGGGACAGACAAAGAGTGGTCAGTAATCGACTCTGGTTGTGTTAAAATCAGAAGTCGGTGAAGATCACAAGACGCGACCGTGGGTTTCATTCTCCTTCTGTTAGTGTCTCGGACCGCGCCCCGATTCCTCCTTTCTCCCAACTCAACCCAATCAATCTCCAAACATTATACTTTTTGTTCCGCCAGATTCATTCTTAAAAACCCCTCTCAGGGATGGCGATGTCGCAAGATGGATGATAGTGGCACATATCCCCGTAGCTGCATCCCCTGCAACCGCCGGAAGGTCCGATGCGACCGGAGGTTTCCCTGCGGTCGATGTGTCAAGGGCAGCGAACAATGTGTCTTTCCTGGTCCTAAACGAGCACCGCGACAGCTGAAACGCCCCCCAATCGCCGAGGTGCTGGCCCAGCTGCGACACCTGGAGCAAGAGGTCCAGCTCCTGCGCGCCCAAGCTCAGCAACCTGCGGAGGCTGGATCGGCTTCTAGCTCGTCTCCACTCGGCCATTCGCAGGAGGAGGCCACTAGACCACTGGAACCAGGCCAGCGGGAAGGCAGGCTGGTTGTCAAGGAAGGTAAAAGTCGTTATGTGGGGGATGCACCCTCGGCCGTGCTGGGGGACAAGGTGAGATTTCCCTTCCTCGTATAATCCTGTTCTACTCCCCACAAGAGCCCTGACGGGTGTGTTCGTGACCACTATAGATCCGAGAACTACAGGACATCTGTGATGCATCATCCTCCGAGGATGAACTGGAGACCCCGCAGGCATCCGGCTTGCACTTCGCCAGTAGCCTTGGGGGCAACTGGCAGGATCACAGTTTACGAGACACCTACCTGCAGCCGGACCAGTTCCAGCGCTTATGGCAAGTCTACAAAAACAATGTAGCCCCGCTACTTGCCGTTCTACACGTACCGTCTGTGGAGATCATGGTTCGTGAAGAGTCCGAGAACATCAATCCGGACCCTTCTCGCGAAGCACTCATTCTGGCTGTGTGCTTTGCTGCCATCGTATCCATACCCCCAGGTCAGTGCTTGGACTTGGTGGGTCTCGATTGCGAGAAGGCTATTCAGAGCTACCAGCTCGCCGTTGACCAGGCTTTGGTAAGAGCCAACTTCATCAAATCTCAGAACATCAGTGTTCTGCAAGCTGCAGTGATCTTCTTGCTCTGCCTTCGCTGGAGGGGGGATGCCAGACTCGTCTGGGCGGCGTCTGCCGTCGTGGTTCGTGTGGCTCAGGGACAGGGTGTCCATCGCGACGGTCAAAGCCTCGGACTCAGCCCGTTCGACTCGGAAATGCGGCGTCGCTTATGGTGGCACATTTGTGTCCTGGATATGGTGTGCTCCGAGGATCAAGGAACTGACACCCAGATCCAGCCAGGCATGTTTGACACTCGTCTCCCCCATAATATTGACGGGGAAGATCTGGCTCCTTCCATGACTGAGCTGCCACCAGAAAAAACTGGCACCACTGATATCACCCTCCTCATTATTCAGTGCGAACTAATCTCGGAACTCAACTGGCCAAATCGACGTAATGGTGCAAAGGATCCAGAATCCTCGGCCGATCAGGAACCGCTAGTTACCACTGTAGCGAACCGTCTGGAAAATCGGTATTTGCAACACTTGGACATCAATATCCCAGTTCAATGGGTTTACGCCATGATCATTCGGTTGACCCTGTCGAAGCTGTGGCTGTACGCTCATTACAACAAAATCCCCAGCCATGGGTCTGAATCCGAATGCTCGCAAGCCGCCTGCGATGATGCCTTTCGGGCGGCCGTCGAAACCATCAAATTCACCATTCTGCTGCATACAAACGAGAGTACTTCACACTGGGCGTGGTTGTGCAAGACGTATAAGCAATGGCACACGGTCGCATTCATTCTCGCCCAGCTGTGCAACCGCCCGATCACGGCCGAGACCGATCATGCCTGGCAGGTGGTGACGGAGATCCAACGGCAATGGGAGCAGGATGGCTCGCCTCAGAGTGTCATGCTCCGGAAGCCGCTCAAGCGGTTGATGCAACGGACAGCTTCAACTAGGGCAGCCAAAATGGGTGTATCGCCAGGCTCCTCTCTGGGCACGGAGGTTAAGGATGGTGATAGTATGGGTTCGGAGTTGATGTCCTTACATACCAACCCTGCTCCAGGCATGGATGTCTCCCCGATTCCCCTGGATCAAGGTTCTATTCCCTTAGATGTCTATTCGCTAGGGATGGCTGGTTTTGGTGTCTCGGGCATGGAGTGGCTGTGGGAGCCATTGCTGTAACGGTCGGGCTCCCAACCCCTTTGAAGGACGTATGTGGACGGCATAAAACAAATGTGAAAAATTCGACATATAATATCAATATAATTATATGTAACGTGTATGTGAAATCGGGTTGTGGAGAAAGCGATCATGGAACATGGCCATCATGTACTCTTAGATGTGTCACGGTCGGGGTGGCGATCCCCCTCGGCATTGATCTCAAACCCGACCCTCGTCCACTTTTAGTCAGGCTTCAATGTCTCTCTTACTAACCTCGGTCCCATATGAAGCCGATATGCGAGGGGTATTTTGTCATTCATCTCTCTGACATTGACGCCGAAAGGGGTATGGAAGAGACCTCAATCTTGGTCAGCTGCAGTGGGTGGCCAAGGGACATATAATGGAGGCTTGCCCCGGGTCAATCCCATGCAGCAGAAGTCATCCATTGGCAATTACTCCACCAGACTGAAAGCAATACGAACTCAAGGAACCGAACAATTCATCTATCTCTCACAGCAAAATGTCCAAGATCATTACTGTCTTCGGTGCCACTGGCCAACAGGGCGGGTCCGTCATCCGCACGATCCTCAGCGACCCCGAACTTTCCAAGGAATTCAAGATCCGCGGTATCACCCGCGATGCTAGCAAACCAGAAGCCCAGGCATTGGCCAAGCAGGGAGTCGAAATCCGAAATGTAAGGCTTGACGGCCCATAATCCTACCGGAAACCCACTCTAACAGTCTACATAGGCGGACATGAACTCTAAAGACTCTATCCGGAACGCCCTCAAGGGCAGTCACTCCGTCTTCCTAGTGACCACTCCCGCCTGGGGTATTGCTGGATCTGATGCAGAATTGGTCCACGGCAAGAACGTTGCCGACGTGGCTAAAGAGTTGAACGTCCAGCATCTCATTTTCTCTTCTCTGCTCAACGTGACAGAGACCACAGCCGGACGTCTCAAGAATGTCCATCACTTCGATCACAAAGCCCAGGTCGAGCAGTATATTCGCTCGCTGGGAGTTCCGGCTACCTTTGTCTTGCCGGGGTATTTCATGACCAATTACTCTGTTGTTGGTCTGCTGCGGAAGGGCGAGAACGGGGTATGGACTCTTGCTTATCCTGTTGGAAAGGAGGCTAAGTTTCCATTGATTGATATCGCGGGTGATATGGGTATGTGATCTTTAAGCCATTTGCTCTAGCATGAGTGCCTTGACTGACAAGTTATGTAGGTAAATATGTCGCCGCCTCTTTGAAGAACCGGTCAGAGACACTCGGCACTCAGATCCTCGTGGCGGAGGATTACTACACTCCTACTCGCATTCTCGAAGAGTTCGAAGAGGTGACCGGACAGAAGTCCCAATTTGTGCAGGTCGATCCCGAAACGTACAAGTCATTCATGCCGGGTCCGATGGGCCAGGAAATGCTGGAGAACCACCTCTTCATTGGAAACCCTGGTTACTTCAATGGTCGGAGTCTCAACGAGAGTAAGGCTTTAGTGGCTAAGGCGGGGTATAAGCCCACCAGCTGGAAGGAATTCTTGCAGCAGAACAAGGCTTCGTTTGCCTAGTCTACCTGCGTTCTCTAGTCGGAGCTCAGTGGTGTAGTCGTCAAATCACCTAGGATGGGATTAGCTAGGATCTTGTGTAATCATATTATCGTGATATGATAATCGAATGGTTTTGGGATGGCCTAAATCATTTTTCTTATTTGTTTGAGCGACAAATCACTCGTAATCTTGGCGGCTGGTGGCGTAGTTAGGATACTTGACGCCGGTGCCGGATGTTACCTAATTTGATAGCTACAGTTAGAGGACTGCGCCTGCATCTTTATCGGAGAGGATCTTCTAGACCTCAACGTCAGCAGCTTCCTGGTCTGCTTGGCGAATAACGGCGTGCATCAGAGCAATTGAGCGGGGCGGGCTATACAGAGCACGCCTTCACATCCCGCCTTGATGCCATGCCTGCAGGTCGCCGATAAGACCTCACCGAACGCGCTTTCCTCCCACGACCTTAATGTCGCTGGAACTATATACCGGTCGTGGGCTCTAATCCGAATTCCACGGCTTTATGATTTCTCATTTTCAGTGAAAGTTCGCTAGGATGGATACGCCCGACGATAATAATAAAGGCCCTATCGATAGGGTCTCATCTGTAAACGAGCAGCTATCGGATGAGATACGGCCGGAGGATGAGAGGGCACTGGTATTATTTCCAGTCCACAACATCGGAAATGTGTGCATCGACTGACCGATCCTAGGTATGGCGACTCGACTGCTTCTTCCTCGTCGTGGGGTTTCTGGGATATGCATTCAAATACCTGGACCAAACGAACATTGTTAGTACCCGCATGTATCACATAAACAATGTGTACTTATCATCGGCAGAGCAATGCCTATGTTTCCGGTATGGAGACAGATCTCGAACTCTATGGTAACGAGTACAATTATTTCACGACCTTCTTCAAGTATGTCATCACCTCTGACTACTGGCAATTCTGACTCCATCAGTATCGGATACATGATTATGCTCTACCCATCATGCATCATTATCTCCCACGTCGGGCCAGCTATATGGCTGCCAGCATGCGAAGTAACTTTTCTTCAGATAGAGTATTCATATAGCTAACCAACGAAATAGGTTCTATGGGGTATACTCACCTGTTGCTTATCCACTGTCACGTCTGCTAAACAGGTATTTACCCCGAGTGTTTTGACAGGCATCGGCACAACTAATCGATTAGGTGTATGGCTTGCGTTTTCTCATTGGCTTCTTTGAGGGTGCGACGTGGCCTGGCTACTTTACCATTATCAGGTAAGTCGCTCAAT